TCCAATATTTAACTTGTTAGACAAGAGTTGTGTCAAAGTAATTTTTCCTGGCTTTTTTCTATGCCTGGCTTTTTTCTATGCTTGGCTTTTTCGCAGACTTGATCTAAGATCTGGCCCATTTAATCCAATTAGCATTTGAAGTTTAATTTGCGTATGGAAGAGCATTTTATGCAATCTTAATCAACTACGACATATTAACCACTTTGTTGAATGCTTTTTTCGAACTTGATAACCAATTGTGTTGTTTAAAAGTCGCAATTGTCCAATGTTCCAATTGCCCAATGTCCAATTGCCCAATGTCCAATGTTCCAATTGTCCAATGTCTAATTGTCCAATGTTCCAATTGCCCAATGTCCAATTGTCCAATGTCCAATTGTCCAATGTCTTTATATTTAGCCAATTAAGATTGAAACAGAAAATCCTCTTACATAGGCAAATTAAACCTCAAATGTTAATTAGGTAAATGCAAATAGATTTAATAAGGTAAACTTTAGCCAATTTAATCATTCTTTTTAAATACATGAGAAAAGAAAAGAAAATAAACAGAAACAAAAAGCAGGAAAGCAAAAAAAAAAAGCAAAACACGCTTAAAACCTATCATGAATTTAAAAAGAATAAATAAATTGCCTAAAATCTACTTTATTAAATCAATTTCCCTTTACCCAATTAGCATTTGAGGTTTAATTTGCATATGGAAGAGCATTTTTATGTTTCAATCTTAATCAACTACGAAATATTGACTACAAAAGCCTAATAGCTAGCTCGGTAGATGATCGATCAGAGCTCTATATCAATTAACCCCTCTAGACCACTGTATTTCTTTGAAGAATTTCGATGTTAAACATTTTGTTTCAAGTTGTAGATGATACTGTGGTTTATGGATGATACTGCGGTTTGTGCATATCGTTAGTTTAGCTCGTTAGCAACTTCATTCTTGTTCAGCAACTTCATCCTTGTCCAGCAAAAAGGGAAAGACTTTGGATAGTTTAAGATGATACTTTTGATCTAGAAATGATTTCAATTATTCTGGCTCGTTCTAAGGGGAAGATTAAGAAGTTATTTATTTCTAGATTTTCAATTTTCTAAAATCTTTTTGATTTTTAGATGATTTAGATGATTTAATGATTTCTGACAAAATGATTTAAATCATTTCTGAAATTTAGAAATGATTTAAATGGTTTAAATCATTCTGGATCGTTTTAAGGGGAAGATTAAGAAGTTATTTATTTCTAGACTCTAAATTGTTCCCATAGAAGAGTAACAGGGAAGAGTGCCCACCGTCTAGGAGTCTCATTTATCACAAAATGGAGAAAAAGATTGAGAACACAAGGTTTTCGAAAAAAAGGAATGAAAGAAATGAGGGAAAGGAAGAAATGGGAAAGAGAAGAGGAAGAGGAAGGGTGAGGAAGTTGAAAGAGGACAGGGGACTTGGAGCAAGGGGTAACTCAACTTTGTTTCTCCCCTTGACTGCGGCCATTCGGATCTCCCCGGGGCACGCTCGGTCTCTTTTGAACTTTTCCCTTCGCCGGTTTTTCCCTTTTTCCCCCTTACTTTTCCAACCTTTCCCCAGAATATTTCTCTTTTTTAGCTTTTTAACTTTCGTTCTCGTGTTTTGACACAACAATTGTATGGCTTATCGCAATTTTTCAACAATTTCAACAATTTCAACAATTTCCCCGAGATTTCGGATAAAGAAAAATAAAATGTTTTGATGATTTTTAAAAAAAATCTTTGAATACAACTATTTTACCAAAATGATTCTTTAATTTATTTCTTTTGAAACTCAGCTTTTTTTCAACCCTTGCCTCTTAAAAATTTTATTTGTTGATTGATTTAATTTGAAACTATCATTTTAAAACGGATGTTTAAAACATTTTATTTAACTTTAAGTAATGGCTAGTTAAATATGGCTTTATTAGCTTAAAATCAAATTCTTTTAACACAAAACTAATAGCGAATTGACATTCTCTATTCCATGGCTTTGATTCTACAGCTGATTCATCTGGTCTACACCTACAGCTGATTCATCTGGTCAATTTAACTTCATTGTTGGCATCAACTGGTTAATCATCTAGTAGACATGGGCTTTTTTTTTGTAAAAAACTAGTCAGTTTCACGTTTTAGCAAGCTCTTCATTTCTAAGACGTGAATACAAAGCTATTTCGAAGCTTTAGAAAACAAGAGCTGTTTCGCTAAAACCTGAAACTGAATATGCTTCGTGATCGGATCTTCTGATTGTTTAATTTGAAACTATACATTTTTTTATGTTTGATAATCCCTGAACCGTATTGGAACCGTATTAGATCAAAAAAAGAACCGTATGGGAACCGTATTGGGACCGCATTAGATAAAATACAAGTTGCTTGCTGTTTTAAGGATAATAAGGATAAAGATAAGCTCAAATTCAGAAATTTCTATGAATTTAATTAAAACCGGCTCATTTTCATCATGATTAAGAAATTTCTATGTTTGAAAAATGACCGCCGAATGAAAAATGACCGCATTAAACCCTACGCACAATGTTTATCTTCATTTAATTTGAAACTACCATTTTAAAACAGACGTTTAGAAGATTTTATTTAACTTTAAGTAATAACTAGTTAAATATGGCTTTATTAGCTTAAAATCAAATTCTTTTAACGCAAAACTAATAACGAATTTACATTCTCTATTCCATTTAAAAAAAAAAAACTGAATGCAACTATTTTACCAAAATGATTCTTTAAGTTATTTCTTTTGAAATTCAGGTTTTTGTCAACCCTTGCCTCTTAAAAATCTTATTTTTTCCGTTCAAACCTTAAAACGATTCTCTTATGCAAAAATTTCCACAAAATTTGTTCACTTTTATGTCTGTCTGTAAAATTTCATTTCATTTACATTTCTCAAAAGAAATTGAATTGAAATGAAATTGAAATTGAAATTGAATTGAAATTGAATTGAAATTGAATTGAAATTGAATTGAAATTGAATTGAAATTGAATTTTTTGATCGTCTTAAAGCAACAATTGTATGGCTTATCGCAATTTTTCAACAATTTCCACAATTTCCACGATTTCTCGAGCTTTTGCACGAACCCAAAAAAAAGCTCAAAGGCTTAAAAGTGCAAAAAGTCCAACTCACCTTTCAACAATGATCTCTTTTTTTTTGCTGAAAATTTAACCGAGATTTTCGAGTGACACAAAACACACCCAAAATGGGCTTTATGAAAATTTCATGAAAGCCATTTTTCCTTCGACTTTGCACCTAGAAAAAGGAAAAAAAAATTTCAGTTAAAAAAAAGCTGAAAAAAAGCTCTGCAAAAATTCATGTTTCAAAATGTGACTGCTGAGCTTTTAACGCTTTTTTTTGGTGAAAAACTTGGCAACAAGAGAAAAAAGAATGGAGTGAAGGGGATGAATGAAAATTTGAAAAGTTTCAAATGTCTCAAAGTGACTACGATGCTTTTGTGGTCAATGAGCGGAGTGCGGATGCTAAAATTTTCTCGAATCTTTGAGCAGATCCAAGAAGTTTTGAGAAAGCACGATTCAAATCTTAAATAGCCATCTCGTTTTTCTTCTTTTTTTCCTCTTTCTATCTTTATCAATGCATTTCCTTTTTGAAATCTATATTACTTTTTGAGAGTTTACAAATAAAGGGTGCGCCAAAAGTTCCCGTACTTGTATTTTCTGCATTTTTTGGTCATTTTAGATAAAAGCTATGATTTTAAAAGTAAGAAATTCGAATTCCTCGCGAAAAACTGATTTAGAAAACGTTTCTGGTTAATTTATAAGTGCAACGCTATTTAAGACAAGTGATTGAGAAGAGGGTCCGCTCAGGAGCGCTTTGGTCGCACATTTTTTTGCGGCTTCAGACCTGTAACTTTTATGGATCAAAAGATTTTCAAGAGCCAAGATGTTTTTCGAAAGCTAGACATAAAATGTGACATTTTTTATATTGGGTATATCAAGTTTTGGTCAACGACCGAGCAATTCATGGGAGTGGGACAAATGCGACCTTTTTTTTCCTGGAAAAGGCCCTAGGAAAGGTCGTAGAGCTTCAAAAATGTTTTCATATAAGGGAATCGTATGCGTAGATTCCGAATTTCGACAAATCAGGACTCGCTGACACGTCAAATTTGGGCTAAAAGGCAAAAACTATGCAACTTAACGCTTTTCCGCAGTTTTTGCCTTTTAGCTCAAAATTAACGTGTCAGCGAGGCCTGATTGGTCGAAATTCGGAATCTACGCATACGATTCCCCTCTATGAAAACATTTTTGAAGCTCTACGACCTTTCCTAAGGCCTTTTCCAGCAAAAAAAAAAGATGCGCAAATGTCCAGGTGCGCAAAAAAAAGGTCGCATTTGTCCCACTCCCCTCATTTTTCCTCATTTAGTTCATTTTCTCTCAACTTTTTCACACGCTTTCCCCTCACGTGTATTGAAGAAAATTGGTTTTGTTACTCATTCAGGGAAAAGTGCACAGATCTATCCTTTAAATCGTTTTAAGCTCAGCTTCTTCTAGTGAATTCAAGGGAAAGCACACTTTTTAAAAAAAAAAACCCCTATTTAAAGCTTGGGAATTTGTTTGAAAGTGAAGGGAAATTGATTTAAAAAAGATGGGCAATTCAATAAGAAATAAGAAATCATTTAATTCAATTGATTTCTTACTTCTTATTGAATTGAATTAAATGATTTCTTATTTCTTATTGATTTAATTCAATTCAATTCAATAAGAAATCATTTAAACTATTGTTTTCTCTTTATTTTTTAGCAATTCATTGTTCTTTTTGAAGCAATTCATTGTTCAATTCTTTTTTTTTTGAAGTTTGTGAAGCCTTTTTTCACAATGGCAATTTCAGCTTTCAGATTAAAGCGATGTTGAACGATTGATCGTCGAAAGAAGCTCAACTTTGAAACGATTTAAGGGATAAAAGAAGAAGAAGAAAAAAAACGGCTCAATACCCCTACTTTCTGTACATTTCTGTACATTTCCTGCTATTCTACTAGATTTTCACACAAAAAAATGACTTCATCATCGGAGGGAGAAATTCTTCAAGTCGGTCAAGTGATTCGAGATCGATGGAAAGTGGTGAGGCTGTCAGAGCTGGGCATTAAGCTGGGCATTGAGCTGGGCATTGAGCTGGGCTTTGAGCTGGGCATTGAGCTGGGCTTTGAGCTGGGCATTGAGCTGGGCATTGAGCTGGGCATTGAGCTGGGCATTGAGCTGGGCATTGAGCTGTAAAGCTTGTGCTCAAAAAATTTGTAAACACACTCTTTCTAGCGCGCTGAACTTTCTTCTTTCTTCTCTTGTTTATTTAGAGGGAAAGGGAAAGAATTGGGTGCACCAAAATAAGTGTTTTTTACAAATTTTCAATTAAAAAGTGCGCATTTCTGCTAAAATTTGTCTAAATTTTGTCTAATTTCATCTAAAAAATCAGATTTTCACTTGAAAAGCTTGAGAATTCAAAAAAAAAAATGAAATAATAACTTTAAAAAGATCAATTTCAATTGAAGATCATTTTATATTCGACTCAAATCTTTCATATTGTTTTTTAGAAACAAAAAATTGGCGGCGGTGGCTTTGGAGAGATTTACGAGGCAACTGACTTACAGGTAATCTATCGTATTCTTTCTAATCGTATTGCAATTTGGGGAAACGATTGAAAAATATTATTAAAAACACTTAAAACCTTACATTTATAGTGCGTCTTTTTCAATTCAAAACCTTTTTTTTTGACTGAATTTTTGACTTAAAAGACTTAAATGAATTAAATGAATTAAATGAATTAAATGAATTAAAAGAATTAAACGATTAAAAGACTTAAATGAGTTAAAAGACTTAAATGACTTAAATGACTTAAAAGACTTAAATGACTTAAATGACTTAAAAGATTTAAAAGACTTAAACGATTAAAAGACTTAAACTTAAACGATAACTTAAACGACTAAAAGATTGACTTGAATGCTTTTGTCTTGCTTGTATGAAATTGTAAAGAATTCAAAAATTTAAGTGAATAAAATTCTAATTCTTTTTTTGTTCATTTAGTTTATTTCGAATTCTAGAATCACAATGAACGGGTGGCGATCAAGGTTGAATCGTCGAAAGCCACGAAACAAGTGCTCAAAATGGAGGTGGCTGTGTTGAGGCGATTACAAGGTGAGTGAAAATGATTTTTTTTGTTTTTTCTTTGTTGAAATCCGCATTTCTTATGCATGTACCTAATAGAACAAAAACAAATCATAGTGAAAAGCCAACAAGTGTGTGTGTGTGTGTGTGTGTGTGTGTGTCTTCAACAGACTTCTAAGTGACCCGCTGTGCATTTGTTTATGATTCATTTGCTTTATCATCTGAATAAAGTATCATTATTATTATTCAGATGTTATTATTAATGACACTTTATTCAGATGATAAAGTGAAAGCAAATGAATCATAAAGAAATGCACAGCGGGTCACTTAGGAGTCTGTTGAAGACACACACACACACACACACACACACTTGTTGCCTTTTCATTATGATTTGTTTTTGTTCTATTAGGTATATGCATAAGAAATGCGGATTTCAACATTTTCATAAATCGATATCCAACGATAGAAACCTGATATCGATGAATGTTATAAACTATTTGAAAGTTGTAAATCTCCTCCACAAAATAGGCTAAAGCGTGTTTTAATTGATCGAAACATTGAAGAAATTTCGAGGGCGAATGTTTGGATGAGTTTGACGTACACTACTGGACAATGAAATATGATATTTGAAAAACGATCGTCACTTTCGCGCGTCTGTAACTCCCTTGTCTTTGAGTTTAAACTATTAGCGTTATACATTTTCTGAAAGCTCTTTTCAAGGGCTACACAATGGTAATATTAATATTTAGAAAAACGATAAAGACAAGGGAGTTAGAGACGCGTGAAAGTGACGATCGTTTTTCAAATATCATATTTCATTGTCCAGTACTGTATTTGTGTGTTACATATTGCCTAAATAGATGGCTAAACTTTGAAACTTGACATTTTAATTCTCAATAATTCTCAAGAGTTTTAAAGAAATTCCTAAAAAGCATCAAAAATTTATTGAAATTTAACGATTCTTTATTTAAAATTATTTAAATTCATTTAAATTCGTTCAAATTTTTAAGCCTTACTTTAGATTTGAAATAGACTTTAAATCTTTTTACGAAAGTAAACCTAAATCTAATTTGCATTATTGTTTTTGCAATTAGATTAATTATAAGCAAACTTTGCAAAGCCAAGAATGCTTTTGGAAAAAGGTCAACCATTAATTAGCCAACACCTGCCTTGTTACGTTTAACTTTGAAACTCATCATTTTCCATTCACTAGAGTCAGCTCTGACTGACGGACACTCAGGGCTTCCTATAGGCCAAACTCAGCTGGAACGATCGTGACCGGCTTCACAAAGTTAATAACTTTTCCGAAACTTAATCAATATCTCCACACAAATTTTCTTTGCAATCATTGTGCGTATCTTTCTCCCCCCTTTTCCCCTTTTCTTTGTCACTTTGTTTTAAGGGTGTAACAACTCTTTTCCCCTCATTGCGTTCACTTTCTCTTCAATTTTCCCCCTCTTTAAACCCACAATTCTACTGAAATCCCCACATAAAAGAGATCAAAAAGATTTTCACTCAAAAGTTTCACAGCTGTTCACACAAATCTATAAATTTGACCCATTTGGGGAGGACAAGAGCTTTCGATTCGAGAATCGAAGTTTCAAGAATGGGATAAAAGTCGAAAATTGGGCTTCTTTTTCTTAGCTTCTTTTTCTAAAAAAAAGTACATCAATCCATTAATCTAGATCAATCCATCAATCCAGACAAATCCCTGAATTTCCCCAAATTCAACAATCCACATTTGTATTCTATCTAATAGTAGTGCATCCTGAGCGTCTGCTAAATTCCTTGAAATCTCGAGAACCGCTTATCAGAACCTATCGATGTGGGGTCGGAAAATGTAGTTGATGATGAGATCTAGTGGGGGATTGAGTGAGAGGTACAAGCAGTATAAATCAGGAAGCCAGTCACGATCGTTCAAGCTGAGCCTGGCCTATAGGAAGCCCTGAGTGTGTGTCAGTCAGAGCTGACTCTAGATCTGGCTAGCTGACTGTAGCCTGTCTTTCTGCCTGCTTAGGGTATAACTACCGTATTCCCTCTAATAGTAGTGCACTTTGAGCGTCGCCTCTCGTCAAATGAGCCTAATCAAGGTTTAAAAGTCTTTAGACAACCAAACAGTATAGCTAACACCCTAAGCTTTGCCTAAATTCCTTGAAATCTCGAGAACCGCTTATCAGAACCTATCGATGTGGGGTCGGAAAATGTAGCTGATGATGAGATCTAGTGAGGGATTTGAGTGTTGGACTTCTGGGAAAAAATATGAAAACAGAAATCAGTAATGGGATCCGAACCAACGACCAACGGGTTGCGAACGACCTGATTGCGGAACCATTACACCTTACACCAACCACCACTACGACCATTAAACCAATCAACTGATTGTCTGTGTCCCTTTCCAAGTGACTTATTGAGGCAAAATGGGCCCCATTTTTGCGAGTTTGTTAAAGACAGAAATAAAATCACAAATTTCTCACGTTTTTAGCTCAAAAACTCCTTTTTACTGATCGAAAAACGATCATTTTTTGATGAAAACTTAAAACCCGAAAACTTAAGAGAAAAAAAGGTAAAAAAAAGGCAAAAAACGTCACGAAAAGCTGTGTTTTAATTTTTCGGTACGTCCGGGCAAAAGAAAAAAGAGAAAAAAAGAGGAAAGGGTCTAGTTTTTTTTAAGCTCTGTCTCCTCAAGCTCAGACGGATCACCTTTCCAGACTCTTTTTAAAGCAAAAATTGCTCTCAAAAAGCATGGATAGTATAAGTTGAAGATTGGGAAAATTAAAGGGAAATTCCAGGAAAAAAGCACGCGTGCAAGTTCTACGGTTGCGGCCGGAATGACAAATTCAACTACCTCGTCATGAGTTTGCAGGTGATTTTTGAGTGGACATCAATAGTGATAAAGTGATTTGGAGAATAAACAAATTGATTTAGAGTTAAAGGGGAAAACAAGAGTTTTTTTTAGGGTAAAAACCTGGCCGATTTGCGGCGAGAAGCGCCCAAACAGTGTTTTTCGTTGTCCACCGCGATCAGGTTTGTATTTTGAAATAGGAAATAGGCAAAATACCGTAAAAACTCTAATAGAACAGCCCTATAGGAGCGTAGTGTAGTCTAAATTTATTGAAGAAACAAACGCTCAAAGCTCGACGTTTGTTTGGGACGTTACAAACCAGTACGTTTGTTTTCTTCGATAAACTTAGACTACGCGACGCTCCAATAGAGCTGTTCTATTAGTTTTTGATGTTATTGGGTTGGTGAATTGAAAACTGCGGGACTTTGAACTAAAATTTATTGAACATAAAACCATGAATTCATTCCAAATAATTTCCATTATTATTGACGACTTCTGCCCATTTTATAGGCAATTTGCGTAGTAGATTGCGTAGTAGAAGTAGATCGTAGTAGATCGTAGTAGGATTTTGGTTTTGAATCGAAAGACTTTCAAAGCCAATTTTTGACTGCTTCTTCCGAATCGAAGTGTTCTCCCGCAACTCGTCAATAATAATGGAAACCATGGGGCACCTAAGTCCCAAGTTTCGATTTAAATCCATTTAAATCCGATTTATGAAGGTACCTTAGCACTGTAACATGATCAACCCCTAACTCTTCTCCCAATTCACGCGATGATACCCGATGGTCGTTGGTAATGAGTTCGAGTAATTTGGAATCATCCAGTTGAGGTTCAACATCATCCATGTTGAAGTAAACAACCCCCCCCCCCCTTTCAGCTGGTTCAATGCTGTTGTTTTCTTTAGCTGTTTAATAAATTTACGCTTAAATCCTGTGCTATTAGGTTGGTGAATTGAAAATTGCGGGATTTTGAACTAAAATTTATTCAACATAAACAAACCCCCCTTTCAGCTGGTTCTTTGCTGTTGTTTTCTTTATCTGCGAGTCCCGCGAAATAGCCCGCAGTTTTCAATGCACCAACCCAATAGCACAACAAAGAACAAATAAGTAGGATTTTCCCTCTTTCGTAGTAGGATTTTGGTTTGTGTGTGAGACAAGTGTGAGACTCAAAAATGGAGGACTGGAGATGTCCATTGAGGACATCTCCAGTCCTCCAGTCCTCAATGGACATCTCCAGTCCTCCATTTTTGAGTCTCACACTTGTCTCACACACAAACCAAAATTGAGGACTGGAGGACTGGAGATGCATTTGAGCACTTTCTTCAAAAGAAACCCATTTTGGTGTCAATAGAAAAGTTGTAGAGAATCAAAAATTAGGCTTATAGCCAAATTTCCAAAAAGATACACTAAGTAGTTTCGCTTAAAATGCAAGTTTTGTGAAAATTCGTAAATTTGGCATTTCTTGAAAACCAGTTTTTGAATCGTTCTGGAAATTTGGATATAAGCTTAATTTTTGATTCTCTACAACTTTTCCATTGACACCAAAATGGGTTTCTTTTGAAGAAAGTGCTCAAACTGTCACATATGAAAATAGCCCGCAGTTTTCAATTCACCAACCCAATAAATGATTCAAGCTCTAGCATTGACCAGTTTTTTGTGTTTTTGGATGATTTTTGAAATTTGATGCGCTGTAAATATTAGGTTGTCCGGAAATAAATGAGCGTTTTGTATTGTTTATTATTTGAGTACATTTTTCTCAATAAAGTATGCTCTGTACCTTGTAATGTTATATACCATTAGAAAGCTGAGTTTGCGCTCTCTTTAACCATGCTTTTAAATTTTGTTGAATATAAAATTTTTTGAGAATTTTAAGCTTCGCCGTTTTAGATGTCCGAAACCAACTTTCGCCAGATTTTCTTTTATGAGTTCAAACTCGGTCGCAATGCAGCTGAAACGGCTCGTAACATTAACGAAGTTTGGGGCCAGGGCAGTGTCGGCGAGTCAACAGTGCGAACTTGGTTTCGAAAATTCCGAGGTGGTGATTTTGATCTCGAAGATCAAGAAGGCCGTGGCCGTCCTGTTGAACTCGGTGACGATGAACTGAAGACCCTGGTGGAAGCAAATCCACGTACCACTATTCGAGAGCTTGCGCAGGAGCTTGGCGTGGACAAGACGACCATTTCTGACCACTTGAAACGGTTGGAAAGTCAAAAAAGCTCGATAAATGGGTGCCGCACGAATTAAACGAAAATCAAAAAATCGTCGTTTTGAGGTGTCGCCTGCTCTTCTTCAGCGCAACAAAAACGACCCATTTCTCGACCGGATTGTAACGTGTGATGAAAAGTGGATCCTCTACGACAATCGGCGACGTTCCGCTCAGTGGTTGGACGCCGGAGAGGCTCCACAACACTTTCCAAAGCCAAATTTGCACCAAAAGAAGGTTATGGTGACTGTTTGGTGGTCCGCAGCGGGTCTCATCCATCACAGCTTTCTGAATCCGGGCGAAACGATTACGGCAAAGAAGTACTGCCAACAAATCGACGAAATGCACCAGAAATTGCGGCGAATGTGCCCGGCATTGGTCAACAGAAAAGGTCCAATTCTTCTCCACGACAACGCTCGTCCGCACGTCGCACAACCGAGCCTGCAAAAGCTGAACGAACTGAGCTACGAAACTTTGCCTCACCCGCCATATTCGCCGGACCTCTCGCCTACCGACTACCACTTTTTCAAGCACCTTGACAACTCTCTCCGGGAGAAATGCTTCAAAACTCAAGACGATGCCAAAAACGCCTTCGCCGACTTTATCGCCACCAGAAGCCCGGATTTCTATGCTACCGGCATAAATAAACTTGTTTCTCGTTGGCAAGAATGTGTTAATTGTAATGGTTCTTATTTCGATTAATAAAGTTTTGTTTGGATCAAGTTATGGTATTTTAAATATTCAAGTTGAAAACGCTCATTTATTTCCGGACAACCTAATAGATTTTCAATGTTACTTTATTTCTCTCTTTACAAATCTCTCTTTTTTTTGCATTTACCTTTTGCAGAGGTAATTAATTTTTGAGGAAATTGTGTCCGGTAATGTACCGGTGAGCTTACCCTACTAGACATACCGTACCGTACTAGACATGGAAATATTTAAAGTATTCAAGTTTTAAACTAAATAATTTTTCGATTAGTTTTGTTTTGTTCAAATTTTGTTCAAATTTCAAGCTTTTTTTTTCCAGGGTTGCCGTTCAAATTCTGACAGCGATTCGCGAGATTCATTCGATCGGCTTCTTGCACAGGGATATTAAACCAGTAAACATTTTTAAACTACAAAAAGATCCTTTTTCTTAGCTTATCTCTGGAAGAGAGATAAGGAACCAAATTTAGAGAGTAAAGGCATCAATATTAAAGAGATAAGGAACCAAACTTAGTGAGATAAGGAGCCAAATTTAGAGAAATGATGAACCAAATTTAGAGAGACAAGGAGCCAAATTTAGAGAGATAAGGAGCCAAATTTTCTTTCTTGCTTATCTCTCCCAAAAAAAGGGGTAACTCATTCTTTTGTTAAATAAAAACGACCAGCGTTTTCATAAAACCATTGGCCTTACTAACTTTTGAAACTCGTTTAATTTCCAGTAAAATATCAGGCAAAAACATTAAATACGTAAAATATCAGGCAAAGGCAACGGCAAAGGCAACGGCAAAGGCAAAGGCAAAGGCAAAGGCAAAGCAAAGGCAAAGGCAAAGGCAAATCAAAGGCAAATCAAAGGCAAAGCAAAGGCAACTTTAAGGCAAAGAAATCAAAGAATTAAATAAAACTTAAGAAACTATAACTAGAAGCTAAAATATTCTAAAAAATTGTTGGCTGAAAAAAATCAAACCATTTTTTTTTGCGCAAAAAAGATTACTTTCATAAAATCACCTTTGACCTTTCTTATTTTGAAACTTTACAATTCTTTAGTCAAATTTCGCGATGGGTCGCACGACGGTGACAATGCGGAATGTATATATGCTGGATTTCGGATTAGCTCGTCAATATTTGAATGCGAAAGGAGAGATACGGTGAGTGCAATGGAAAATGTTTGAACGAAACACAAGTAATTCAAAGATATACTTTTAAAAAACACTAATACATTCATTTACACGAATAATGTGGCACAAACAATACAAAAACGCAATCCCTAAGCTCTAAATGCTTAGGAAAAAACTAATCATCTAGCTGGCGGGCTTAAATCCTTGACCTCCTGACTACGATACAGAGCTCCTAGCCACTGGGCCATGGCTAGGAGCTCTGTACCATTGGGACTCTGCCATTTATCCCCTTTTCATTTAGTTTTTTGACAAATTGCTAAAGATTTTATGCTAAAATCCCTTTTTATAATGTGGCTATAATGCGAATAATGTGGCACAAACAATACAAAAACGCCATCCCTAAGCCTTAAATGTAAGAAAGAAAAAAAACCCAAACCTATCGGAAAAAAAAGGCAGCCGGGATAGAACCCTTGACCACCCGACTCAGATACAGAGCCCTTAACCATTCGGCCATGGGGGTCGCAAGGCCGAGTGGCAAAATTAACCTATGAAACGATTTCCTCGATTTTCAGGAGTCCCCGATCGGCGGCTGGTTTCCGAGGGACAGTTCGCTATGCCGCTGTGTCTGCCCACAAAAATAAGGTACCTTTTGATTTTGGCCTTTCGCGATGATGGCATTTTGGGCGTACTATTTTAGTCGTAGCCGTAGTCGTAGTCGTAGTTGTAGTCGTGGTCGTAGTCGTTACTATTTTACTGATAATTTGATGAGCATTCTAAGAAAAAAACCAAACTATTATAGTCACTGGATAGCGTTGAATCTCCTCTTGAAAACTAGTATAAAGTTTCTGCAGAACTTTCTACGAAATAGATAATAAAAGTCCTTAAAAACTTGAGTTGGCACCAAAAATGATCGTCATTAGTAGCAACGGTGAGTCGTATCGTCGTAAATCTGTTAACAGAAAAGAAACCGTTCGCAAATTTAAAGTTTCAATATTGTTTTATGTAAATAGTACAACGTTTGATCTAATAAATCGATGCTATCAATTTGAATCAAAAAAGATTAACAAGATAGAAAATATACCGTAAATACTGTAATAGTACCCCAGTCCCATAATGACGGTGCGGAGTGTTGCGTAGTCTAGTTTTGAACGAGTTTTTCTCTACACTGGTTTATGCTACAATGCGCGCTTAGGTATCAAAAAATAGCCCTGAATTTCAGCTATCTCACAGCTATTTCAGAAAATCACAACTTCTTATTAAAATACTGCAAGATTTAGTCTTTTGTCTGGTTAAATATTGCTTGAAAAATTTTCAGCTGCTAAAGAAACTGGATAAAAACTAAAGTTTCATTTTTCTCTTGAAATTTGAACAACTTTGAAACTAAATTTTTTTTCCTTTGAGCTTAGCTTAAATCCAAGCCTTTTTTTTATTATTGCTTACCGTAAATACTGCAATAGTACCCCACCCCCACCATGACGGTGCGGAGTGTTGCGTAGTCTAACTTTGAACGCGTTTTTCTCGACACTGGTTTATGCTACAATGCGCGCTTAGTTATCAAAAAATAGCTGAAATTCAGGGCTATTTTTTGATACCAAAGACATATTTTTTGAAAGTACGGGCGCTTTGAAAAAAATGAAATACTAAAAAACTTTTGCGACTACGCGACTCTACGAGAGGGGTGGGGTACTATTAAAGTATTTACGGTAGTTAAGTTACATTACAGTATTTACGGTAGTTTAAATCTTCATTTATCCATAAGAAAATGACTTTCTATGCAAATTTTCCAGGAAATGGGTCGACAAGATGATTTGTGGTCACTTTTCTACATGTTGACTGAGTTTTTGGAGGGTCAACTGCCGTGGCGGAAAATCAAGGATAAAGATGAAGTGGGGGTGTTGACGATTAATTATTTTTGATTACCTTTGTTTAAAATTTGAATACTTGAGTCAAGTTTTTAAAAGGCTCATTTCATCAAGAAACTTTGAAAAACGGGAAAAATTCTTCTAGGTTGGTCGAATGAAAGAAAACGTGGACTTGAACATTTTGCTGGAGGAATGCCCGGAGGAATTGCATCAATTCGCCGCACATTTGAAGGTAGTGAGAGACGATATGGGTAAATCAGCAAAATGCGTAGGTAACTGTAGCTCTAGTGAATCGCCGGGTACAAATTTACAGCTGAATATCTTCTTTTTCAAGCTTTAGAAGGCTTTATCAAGCTTTAGAAGGCTTTATAAAGCTTTAGAAGGCTTTATCAAGCTTTAGAAGGCTTTATAAAGCTTTAGAAGGCTTTATCAAGCTTTATAGAGCTCTACTACTCTATTTCTCAATAAACGAAACAGAAAATTCAACTTTTCCAGACTCTCGGCTACCCGGACACGCCAGACTACGAGTTTCTGGAGCGACTGCTCACTCAAGTGATGGCCAAGTGAGTGTTTGGAGAGAATAAATGCTCCTGTTCCTATTCCTGTTCTATTGTTTGCATATTAAATAACAATCCACTTCTAATCCATTTGCCATTCTAAATCAATCGATACCCCATTTCAGAAATGAGATCAACTGGGAAGATCCGTACGATTGGGAGCTTGGTTACGAGAATCTCACCGGCAGAAGCAAGCAAAATGGTAGGAATCAAAAGAAGCCGCATGAAAGAGAAATCTGCTTTTTTAGGCGTCTAAGAAGTCAAAGTCTAAGAAGTTCTAAAAAGTTTCAGATTCAAATAGAATTCAAATATTAACCTTGAATAAACTCTATTTTAGCGCAACAATGCAAAGACTTTCTTGGGTTTAAAATTAACTAACTTTTAGCTAACTTTCCAGGCAACTCCTCACGTCTTAAATCGCACACAACGGCCGTCATTCGGGATCGCTTTGAGGAGAGGAATAAGTTGGTTTTTTGAAAAAAAAGATGATTTTTCCAGAAAATCTTTTCGTTCCACTGCCAAATCGAGTAGAAAAATGATGAAAAAATGATGAAAAAAGCGGGATTCTAGAAACTAGATACTGTAAAGATTTCTTTGACGCTCAAAAAATGTACAGCTTCTTTTTTTTTTTAGAAACCTCGACACACAGGCTCCAATCACAATGGGTGAGGATGAGGATGAGCAAACAAATGGACAGGTTAGCATTGGAATCATTTTTCTCAAAGAGTTAGTTTCAAAATCTGGATTTCTTTCCAGAAAAACAATTTTCGCAAGCTTGCAAAAGTTTGCAAAACGCAAAGAAATCTTTAAACTCATCTAGGTTTACAAAATTTTATTGTTCAGATCTACATTCAATACTAATAAATGAGAATAATGGATTTGGATTTGATCATCTGGATTTGATCAGAAAAGTTTCTAAACTTTTGCTAGAGCGCTGCAAAGTTGCGACACGCGTTCTACAGGGTGGCGCACATTTACCCGCACTCAGTTCAGATTCTCTAGCTAAGCTCTAGCTCAGGCTCTCTAGCTATTCTCTCTAGCTAAGCTCTAGCTCAGGTTCTCTAGCTATTCTCTCTAGCTAAGCTCTAGCTCAGGTTCTCTAGCTATTCTCTCTAGCTAAGCTCTAGCTCAGGTTCTCTAGCTATTCTCTCTAGCTAAGTCAATCTATCAACCTAATTCTTTCTTTATTATCAAATTGAATATTTCTCCTGCAATATGTTTTCCGAATTTGATCAGAAAAGTTCCTAAACTTTTGCTAGAGCGCTGCAAAGTTGCGACACGCGTTCTACAGGGTGGCGCACAATTACCCGCACTCAGTTCAGATTCTCTAGCTAAGCGAAGAGTCAATCAATCTATCATTTCTTGTGTGGATATAAAATTAGAATTTGAAGTGCCATTTTGCATTTTTATTTATTTAAAGTCAAAAATCGAAGATCTTTCTTTCATTTTTCAACGCATTATATTAAAATCTTTCTGTTTTTCAGTGTCCAAACATTCATCCACTCGGTCACGATTCAGCTCATACACAGGAGAAACCAAAATATAAACGACATGAGTTTATGAAGTGAGTTTCTTTTTCTAAAGATTCTTTTAAAAATTGATAAGATGGAAAATGTTTAACTAAGAATTTTTAGGGTTCAAAAATAAGAAATTAGGAGGAAATTTTGGAGAAAATGTTGACAAAATTTGCACTTCTAACTAGCTTGTTTCAAAGTCGACAACATTAAAAGACAAATGCAAATAACAATGACACAAAACTTGGCTTATTCGTTAGCTTGACTTAACTTATCGTAAATACTCTAAGAGAACGCCACCTCCTCGTACAATCGCGTACAGTCGCGTAGAGACGCGCGTACAGTCGCGTACAGTCGCGTAGAGACGGGCGTAGAGTCGCGTACAGCCGCGTTACAGAAGGGGGAACAGTCGCGTATAGACAGGCGTACAGTCGCGTACAGACAGGCGTACAGTCGCATTACAGACAGGCGTACAGTCGCGTATAGACAGGCATACAGTCGCGTTACAGACTGGCGTAGTCGCGTTACAGACAGGCGTACTCGCTTAAGACAGGCGTACGTCGCTATAGACAGGCGTACAGTCGCGTACAGACAGGCGTACAGTCGCATTACAGACAGGCGTACAGTCGCGTATAGACAGGCATACAGTCGCGTTACAGACAGGCGTACAGTCGCGTATAGACAGGCGTACAGTCGCGTATAGACAGGCGTACAGTCGCGTTACAGACAGGCGTACAGTCGCGTACAGACAGGCGTACAGTCGCGTATAGACAGGCGTACAGTCGCGTTACAAACAGGCGTACAGTCGCGTTACAAACAGGCGTACAGTCGCGTTACAGACAGGCGTACAGTCGCGTAGTCTAACTTCTTTTTAGAAAATCATTATTTTCTCAGCTCCTATATTTTTCCCAACTACACTTTTGGTATCAAAAATTCTAGATTTCAAGGGCTATCATCTAACATTCAAACGAACATTGTAGCATAAAGTAGCCCGAAAAATGGGACGTTTAAAGTTAGACTACGCGATTGTACGCCCGTCATTATGGCAGTGCCGTTCTATTAGAGTATTTACGGTAAATTAACTTAAAAACAATAAAATTCGATAGAAATCGTTCGTTTTTCTACAGAAATCTTTCTATAGAAATCGTTTCTTTTTCTTTTTCATCAACTTACCATTAGCAGGCTGTGCTGTTTTGTGAAATGACATGGAAAGGTGATTTGAAATAAAAGAAAAAATAGAAAAAAAAAAAGCCATTTCAGCACCTCGCACTTTCAGTTTATTTTCCTCGGTTATCCTTGCAGTTTTCATCAAAAAAAAAAAAACAAATTTCACAGCTTTACAAATGCACAAAGTTTAATGGGAAAATTTTCGAAAATTCTAACGAATTACAGGCCAAAATTCGGCACGGCCGTCAATTTGGACGTGATCGACGCGGTGAACGCTCGACTGGCGGCGGTGGATGATGGATTCGCGAATCATGATGTTGAGGTACAAAAAAAAACTCAAGTTTGAAGTTGTTAGAGAAAAAAATCAAAAAAAAAAAATGAAATTAAAGTTCAAATTCAAATTTTAAGCTGTTAAAGTTGAAAAATCGACTTTTAAAACAAAGCAGTAGCGTTTGAGTTTCAAATTTTTTCAATTCGATACACGTAATCGTTTATTCAATGTGTTTTTATGTTACTTTTCTTCGGTAGCATTGAAAAATGTGAAGGAAATGTAGAAATAATATAGAATTCAAATCCTCAGGCAAACTTCAACTTGCCGTATCCGCTTCCGAATCGACCGCATGTCGTCGAGACATCGACAAGCATTAAAAGGCCGCCAACGGTGAAAACGGTTTGTTTTAAATATACATTTATTCACACGAATAATGCGATAAAAACAAAACACAAGCAAGCCATCAATGTCGTGAAGAAAAGAAAGAAAAAAGCCTGAAAAGAACGAATAGCCAGCGGGATTTGTTTCTATGCGACTTTTGTCATGAGGCATTGAAAAATGCCGCCTGACAAAAGTCCGACGGGACTGAACCCTTGATCCCCCGACTAGGATTCAAGGCTCTTAGCCACTTGGCCATGACGCCATAAAGAACCCATCCAAAATAGAGATTTAAACCCTAACCTTTGAGCTATTGAACTTGAAATTTTTGCTGTTAAATTGAGTTAACTCCCTCCATGGAGAAGGGAATTATGTGCATTGTGGTGTAATGGTTAGCACCCTTGACCGGTAAGTGAAAGGTCGAGGGTTCGAGTCCTGGCGGCGATTGGTCAATTTGAAACAAGACTTTTGCTTAAGACTGACTCTTAAATCGAACTTTTGAAATTTAAGGAAAAAGAGATTAGAAGCAGAAAATTTACTGTGAAGTTGATTCCGTTGAAACTCATTTTCAAGGCTATATAGCTTTAAACATTTGATTTATTAAAGTTTAATTCAAAAAAGTGAACTAAATGTTGATTTGAAGCTCTTGACGCTCTTGAAGCTTTTGATTTGAAGCTCTTGATGCTTTTGATTTGAAGCTCTTAAGGCTTTTGATTTGAAGCTCTTAAGGCTTTTGATTTGAAGCTCTTAAGGCTTTTGATTTGAAGCTCTTGAAGCTTTTGATTTGAAGCTCTTGATCCTTTTGATTTGAAGCTCTTGATCCTTTTGATTTGAAGCTCTTGATGCTTTTGATTTGAAGCTCTTAAGGCTTTTGATTTGAAGCTCTTGAAGCTTTTGATTTGAAGCTCTTGATCCTTTTGATTTGAAGCTCTTGATCCTTTTGATTTGAAGCTCTTGATGCTTTTGATTTGAAGCTCTTAAGGCTTTTGATTTGAAGCTCTTGAAGCTTTTGATTTGAGGCTCTTGAAGCTTTTGATTTGAAGCTCAAGGATTGGTAAAAGAAGTTTTGCTTTTAAATTGTTTTCTTTGAAACAAAACGCTTTTTCCAGGTGATTCAAACGCAGAACAGCCTTGATGGGAAACAGCAAAAGAGCCAAAAAAGCATCACCGTATGTGGGAAATTTTCGTGATTTGTGTGATTGAATTTTCTTTTTTTTTACAGCTTTCCATCAACAATCGTTATAAAAAAAAGATCAACGGGTTGACGACAATCGACACCTATGCACAGGTATAAGGGAAAAGTGAGCAAACCTTTTTTTTAAACAATCCTTTAGGCCGATGACGTGAGCGCGAATCCGAGATCGGGCAATACGGTGCTCAGTCGATGGCACGGTTTGTTTTTGAAAAAAAACATTTTTTATTCAGCTTGTAACTGTTGTATTTTTTTGAGTTGTACCTTTTAAAACAGAACTTTTCAACAAAAGCTTGCCAGTTTCTTTAAAATCATGAACTTATTAGCTGTTAAAATCAAGAACATCTAATTTCATTTAATTTCATAATTTCAGAACATTTCTTACATCTAAAGTACGACAAAGGAGTGAAAAGACTTTACTGAACAGCCTAATATTTAGTACAAGTCAAATAAAAAAGTTTCAATAGTATTCATTTCGTTATTCAATTCATCATTTCATCATTTCATCATTAGATTAACTTTAGACAAAACTCTATTACTGGATTTCCCCTAGTAGTCTACCCCGGCGAGCCGAGTTAGTGACTATTTTACGGTTTCCAAGTTTTGCACAGAAACTCAACACAGGCAGAAAGACAGGCTACAGTCAGCTAGCCAGATCTAGAGTCAGCTCTGACTGACGCACACTCAGGGCTTCCTATAGGCCAGGCTCAGCTTGAACGATCGTGACTGGCTTCCTGATTTATACTGCTTGTACCCCTCACTCAAATCCCCCACAAGATCTCATCGTCAGCTACATTTTCCGATCTCACATCGATAGGTTCTGATAAGCGCTTTTCGAGATTTCAAGGAATTTAGGCGACGCTCTACTATTAGAGACTACTATTAGTCTCTAATAGTAGAGCGGGTGCACTACTATTAGAGAGAATACGGTATATATTATTAAAAATGGGCTCATTCCACGTCTTTTTTAGTCAATCTTTTCTTCCCCATGGTTACCGTATTCTCTCTAATAGTAGTGCACCCCGCCAAGCCGAGTTGATGACTATTTTACGGTTTCCAAGATATTCATTGAATTGTAATTCAGATATTCATCGAAATAGCAATTTTTTTCAGTTAGCAGAAAACTTTTTAAGACTTAAGTTGAACAGCTTTAAGACAGGAAATTGAAATTATTAATAACTGAAGAAATCAATAGACCGTATTTTCTCTAATAGTAGTGTACCCCGTCAAGCCGAGTTAATGACTATTTTACGGTTTCCAAGTTTTGCACAGAAACCCAACACTCAAATCCCCCACTAGATCTCATCATCAGCTACATTTTCTGACCTCAAATCGATAGGTTCTGATAAGCGGTTCTCGAGATTTCGAGGAATTTCGGCGACGCTCATGGTGCACTACTATTAGAGAGAATACGGTAGTTATATTCTAAGCAGGCAAAAAGACAGGCTACAGTCAGCTAGCCAGATCTAGAGTCAGCTCTGACTGACGCACACTCAGGGCTTCCTATAGGCCAGACTCAGCTGGAACGATCGTGACCGGCTTCCTGATTTATACTGCTTGTACCTCTCACTCAATCCCCCACTAGATCTCATCATCAGCTACATTTTCTGACCTCAAATCGATAGGTTCTGATAAGCGGTTCTCGAGATTTCAAGGAATTTAGGCAAAGCTTAGGGTGTTAGGGAAAATGCAATATACTGTTTGGTTTTCTAAAGACTTTTAAACCTTTATCAGGCTCATTTGACGAGAGTGTCGACGTGCAACCGTTGGACGACATTCCACCCGATTCACAACGAAAAACGAATGGATTTGGTGAGTTGTAAATGAGGATTTCAACAATTTTGGTCTTACAATTAGGCAATTACTGTAATCTGATGAAAGCGATTACGCCATAATTTCAATTTAAACTTTCAACTTTGACAAAAGCTTGTGGCTTGTCAAATAGACAATAAAATCTTTCTCAAATTATCCTTTCTTGATTTTACATGACTGATTGACTAGCAATCATTTCAACATTGATTTTGAATGTTTATACTATTTTATATTGTCGAAAAATGTTCAGCCCGTGCCTCATCGCACATTTTGTCGCCACCGAGATCGGACTCAAATGTTACCTGTTCGCAAATGGTTACCTCATCATCTCCATCAGCGAATATCGCGTTGGCGTCACCGATGATCTCGAGAAGACATCAACCAAGACAGGTGAGTGGGGAAAGAAGAAATCGATTAAAATGATAATCGGAAATGGCCCACACACTAGACATGGGCAGTATAAACTATAAAAATGATGTACTTTCACACTACAAACACTTCTAACTTTCTTCAAATCTACCTGATTGACATAATCTATAGCTCAAAGAATAGAGGAACTCAAGAGCTTTCAAATGGACTAAAGTACACCGAAAAATATTAATGCTAAAGAAAGTTACAGTGGTTTATAGTCGAAACGGACCGTACTCGCGCGTAGTCGAAGCGGTCGAGTCATACAGTTTCTTTAGCATTGAAATTTTGAGTGTGCTTTGATCCATTCGAAAGCTCTTTAGATCCTCTATTTTTTGAGCTATAGATCGTATTAATACGATAGATTTGAAGAAAGTTAGAAGTGTTTTAGTTTACATTTGTAGTTTATAGTTTACGTTTGTAGTTTGTTTGTAGTTTATAGTTTATAGCCCACATACCGAAAGTATCGTAACCATCGTTTAGGATGAAAAAACGAATGGAATGCAAAGAACGCACTCGGTTGGAGCCCCGTCGACGAGTCTTCTTGGGCACTTCAAGAATTTCGTCTCGGTGAGGGAAATTCTAAATGCAATAGAGTTAAAGGGATTAACTTGTTAGTTGATTGACTGTTAGTTGATTAACTAATTGATCTTACTTTACTTTGAAACTTCTACCTTTTCCCAGTCCTTCAACCAATTCGGCTCTTCGTCTCCGCGCCTCTCGCGTGGGGTTTCGATGGAAAATCAACGGAATTCCCACGAACGGGAATCTCAAATGAGCTATGGTGAGCATTGGAAACTGAAGAAAAGTCTGAGATTTTGTGAAACACCGAAAGAAAAGAATCTTTTCAATGTTCAGGCCTACGAAACTCGACCTCAGGCGGACTGAGAATCTCACCAGCCGTGACGACGACGAAAATCGTGATCGCCAATGTGAGTTTCGCTAGAGATTTAGAAGTACAATATTGAGAAATACAATAATAATCACTAAAAAACAGATCAACTTAATCAAATTCACATACCATAAATACTGTAATTGGACCCCACCCCTCTAATAGAACCCCACCCCTCTAATAGTACCCCACCCTCTAATAGTACCCCACCCTCTAATAGTACCCCACCCTCTAATAGTACTCCACCCTAGAGGTGGAGGGAAAAAATAGTACCCCATGGGGCCCAATTACAGTATTTACGGTATTCATTTCTTAACTATTTGCACTATAGATAAGAAATATCGAATTTATGAACTTTATCGAATCTATCGAATCTATCGAATCTAACTTTTTATATCTTTCGATATCCTTTCTGAACCCCCATAGAAACAGACAACCAAATAGATTGAATAAAAATAGACAGGATTACGGTAGAGCACTTTACAATGGACACTTTACAAATCTCTCTTTACCAGTTGAGAATTTTTAAGAATTTATTTTCATAATCAACAAACCCTTTATATCATTGCATAACCAACAATCAGTCATAAACAATTTGAAACATAAAATTTAAGTTAAATGTCTTTTAAAGTAGAAATTCGAGAAATTCTAGCATTATTTGTGAATTGTGGAACATTTGATACACGCCCCGGCCCCTTTTGCCATTAGCAATCCAACTTTAAGCTCAAATATCTTGATGTCGAACTGTCCAATCTAAATAGTTTTTGTACCAATCGACAGAGAAAGACTTAGCGCATCCAATTATACCAAAAATATTTATATTGGGAAGCCCAGCACAAAGATATTTGAGCTCAAATTTAGATTGCTAATGGCAAAAGGGGCGGGACGCGTATAAAAGCTCCGTCGCCCTGCCTTTACCATTGGAAATCCAACTTTAAGCTCAAATATCTTGGTGTCGAACTGTCCAATTTCAATAGTTTTTGTACCAATCGACAGAGAAAGACTTGACGCATCTAATGACACGAAGAACATTTAAATTCGACAGCCCAACACTAAGAAATTTGAGCTCAAAGTTAGAGTGCCAATGGCAAAGAGGTCGGGGCGTGTATCAAATGTCCGATAACCTTATTTGTGTTCAAACTAGAGCACTTTCCCCTTTCAAACATTGCGTTTTCTAAACCGTGTCCCTTTCTCTTTCTACCGTAATTTAGATTCGATGAAAATAGAGATAATGAACTTTTTATATCTTTCGATATCCTTTCTGAATCCCCACAGAAACAGACAACCAAATAGATTGAATTAAAATAGACAGGATTACGGTAGAAAGAAAAAGGGACACGTTTTAGGTAAAGATCTTTTCGTTTTATGTAAAGATCAAAAGGCTTTGTAAAGATCTATTCCTTTCCTATCTCTTTCTTTCTATAGGTGGGTGTGCTGCGTGGGGGAAATGGTGATGAGAATAACGAACAAATGAATGGAGATGTGATGAGAAATGGGAATGGGAAATATAAAGAAGTGGATCGAGAGGAGATCTTTCAATTTCCACAATACGACGGATTGCAACGCGGTCGAGAGATGGAAAGAGACGAGCGGGAAATGCGAAGACAAAGGAGAATGCATCGACGATCGTCGGCCGATGGAATTAGAGTAAATAGATTGTGATCAACGCTGAAATAACCATTTTTTTCCCCTTTTTCCTTCTTTGTTCTTTTTATTTCAAAGACATTTTTCTGTTGAGCATTCACCTAAAAACGTTTTTTGAATATGAAAAATCATTGAGTGAAAAAGGAGCTTTCTTAACGACAATAGTATAAAATCAAAAAAATTGCTCTTGTCTTCACTTTTCCCATTTGCGATGACCCTCCCAGCGGATCCCTGTGGCGGCTTCTTAATTCTCAAGCGCATCATCATCGAGCGCACTAAAGAAATATGTTAAGGGAACTTTAAAAGGCTTACTTTTGCTTCGAGTCTTCACTTTTCTCATTTGCGATGACCCTCCCAGCGGTGACTGTGTCACCTTAGACATTAACTCGACGGAACCAGGCCCAACCTTGAGCTTTGTATTAGCAACAGGAGCAGGGCAGGCCTTGGACTTTTCCTAAAATGACAAGTATTGTAAAACACTTGAGGCATATGTTTAATTACCGTAAATACTCTAATAGAAGCGTCGCATCGTCTAAGTTGACTCTCAAATAAACGCTCATATCTTGGCACCAGTACGTTTCTTTCTACCGCCTTATGTATCAAATTAAAGTAGAGAAAATGGGTGTTTTTTTGTGATATAACAACGATTTTTAGCCTTAAACAGTGCTTAGAAAAGAATGATTGAAAAATGATGAAAAATCGGCTCTTTTGTTTTGGCCACTTTTCAATCATTTTTTTCTAAGCACTGGTTAAGGCTAAAAATCGGTGTTATATCACAAAAAAACACCCATTTTCTCTACTTTAATTTGATACATAAGTGCGCAGAAACAAGCCTACTGGTGTCAAGATGTGAGCGTTTATTTGAGAGTAAAGACTTGAAATTGACTTAGACCACGACGCTTCTCTAAGTGGCCGTTTTATTAGAGTTTTTACGGTATTCAATTTTATTTTGCACAAAGTCGTTAAGTGAGAGTCTATTCAAATTCAAATTGCCGATAAACGATGAAATTTTTCAGCGAAACGATCTCGGCGAGCTCTCGCCGCCAATCTCACCGAAACCGATGCCAATCGTGCAGAAAACTTCTGTTGTTCACAGGTGCGCATAAAAAAAAGGATTGCCAATGAGTAGTGGACTGAAACCGGAATGAAACTGGAATGAAACCGGAATGAAACCGGAATGAAACTATCTTCAGCTTGAATTAGCTAAACAATTTCATGGGCTAGTGGCTATTTGTAGTACTTTTAGTTTTAAAATTTAAAATGATTAGATTGTAAACTAACTTTTTAAACTTTTTAGACTTTTTGGAAAAAATGGATTTTAAAAAATGATGGCTGAACTACAGTACTGGACAATGAAATATGATATTTGAAAAACGATCGTCACTTTCGCGCGTCTGTAACTCCCTTGTCTTTGAGTTTAAACTATTAGCGTTATACATTTTCTGAAAGCTCTTTTCAAGGGCTACACAATGGTAATATTAATATTTAGAAATACGGTAAAGACAAGGGAGTTACAGACGCGCGAAAGTGACGATCTTTTTTCAAATATCATATTTCATTGTCCAGCAGTGTATAAAGATATAAAGCTACAAGCTATAAAGCTATAAAGATATCAAGATATAAAACTATATAAAGCTATTGTCCAGCAGTGTAAATGAGAGCTAATTTATTTAATTCAAAATGATATTTCTTTTCTCAACAAAATCGCTTTTGAAAGATTTTGAAAAGGCTTTTGTTTTTGAACATTTTCCGAGATGCAAAAAAAAGTTATCAAATTAACAAAAACAGAAAATTCGAATTGCAGAATTTTTCGACAAGTACTAATTTTCATTTTTCGCGCGAAATAAAAGCTCTTAGTTTATCACATTTTCAGTCAAATTTTCAATCAAATCCGTGCAGCCGCTTTTGTTTGTTTAAAAAAAAACCTCTCAAATAATCCTTCATCGTCATCTTCCCTTCACCACCAAAAAAGCTATTTAGTTCCCCATTGAGCTTAGGGTTAGGGAGCCGTCTGTCATGACGTGGGTTAAGTTAAGATATAGCCTAGTATTGTGTGTGTCGTTGTATTGTGATTGATATATTTCGTGTATGCGATAAATTCACCACTGGTAGCCCCAGTCGGTATTTTTTTAAATAAACGATTTTGATCATATGAGGCTGAATAATTTGAAATTTTGTAGAAAACGGCTGGATGCATTTTACGCGAAATTTTACTTAAAATGTGACAGAGAATTGATTTTTCTTTGGCATAGAAAGCTACCGTAATGCCTCTAATAGCATTACGTATAGTAAATAGTACCCCCCGTATAGTCGCGTAGTCGCAAAAAATTTTTACTAAATCATTTTTTTCTAAGCGCCCATAATTTTTAAAAATACATTTTTGGTATCAAAAAATAGCCCTGAATTTCAGCTTTCATTTGATACTTAAGCGCACACTGTAGCTTAAATGGGTGGCAAGAAAAATGCATTTAAAGTTAGACTACACGACGCTCCGACCGTCATTATAGGGGACGCGTTACTATTTGGGGTGTTAAAGTAGTTTCTTATCAAAAAAAGTTGACGATACTCGTCGATTTTGATTTTCGATTTTGCCTACTCGCCTTTGTGCTCCCTTGAAATCCCAAAAACAAAAGCTTTTCTAAATTGTCAACAACGAGGAAATCTAGATGTTTCGAATGGTGAAAAGTCGAATTTCGAATTCGAATTTTTTTTCATTCAGCATTTATAAAAGGAATTTTTCGTGAAAAAAGTTGTTTACCAATTTAGTTGACAATAAAATACGAGTAAATTGACAATACAATCTTCCGTTTGCGCCCCCAAAAATGCCCAAATGCAAACTCACTTTTCCAGTACTCCACCAATCGTGAAAATGCGCGACAACGGGATGGACGAAGATTTTCGGCTACCGATGGAAGACAATAAGCCAATGCTTTTCTGCAGGTGGGCAAGGGATATTTTGATTCGAAAAATATCAATATCAATATCAATAAGTCGTAGACAAATCCAGGATTGTAAAAGAATTTTCAAATTTCATATCCATTTCTTTGAAACTCAAACTTTTTTTTCGTTTATATCAGGCTTAAAAGCTTAAAGCTTAAAGCTTAAAAGCTCAGTCAGCTTAAAAAGCCAGTATTGCCAGATTTGCCTGTATTTGTTGTTTTTTGTGTAGGAAATCAAAAAAAAAATTGATCAAATTGAGAAATCAAACTTTCTCTTTAAAATCTCACAAAATTTCCCTTCAGATGCTCAATGGGGATTACCCTAAGCTGAAATTTCACAAGCAAAAAAGGTGTGAGATGAGTGTGACGCTCAAAAGAATTATTATTTAGCTAGGTTTAGTCAAAAAAAAAAAACTCTTTTGTTGCATTTAACAGCATGTGGAAAATGCGAATTTCTGTTGGATTTTATGTTTTAGAAAATTTGAAACTAAAATTTTCAGAAGGAAACGCTACACGTTTTTGAACTTCCCGAGAACCTCGTCAAAATCGTAATCAAATCAAATGTTGTTAGAAAATTGATTTTCGAGAGATGCACATTTTCTAAAAGGCATCTATTTTCTATACTACCGTAACCCTACCGCCAGTTTTCATTTAATCAGCTCAATTTTTGTTACCGTATTTTCTCTAATAGTAGTGCAACCCGGCGAGCCATAGAGAAAATAGAGAATAGTCAGAGCTGACTCTAGATCTGGCTAGCTGACTGTAGCCTGTCTTTTTGCCTGCTTAGGGTATAACTACCGTATTCTCTCTAATAGTAGTGCACCATGAGCGTCGCCGAAATTCCTCGAAATCTCGAGAACCGCTTATCAGAACCTATCGATGTGGGGTCGGAAAATGGAGCTGACGATGAGATCTTGTGGGGATTTGAGTGTTCAGCTTCTGTGAAAGCTTGGAAACCGTAAAATAGTCACCAACTCTATTCAACCAACTAAACCAACAACCAAAGCCCGGCGGAGTGCACTACTATTAGAGAAAATACGGTAGATTCGATGAGGAATCTTCACTCAATGATACCAAAATTGGGAATGAAAATGAACGGGTGGATTACGATAGCTGCCTTTTGGCTTTTTAGAAAAGTCAGCCAAAAAAAGAACATAGCTTTTCTTTTTATTTCACAAGGGAACATTTTCAGGTTTTTGAACCCGGGCCTTTTGGAATGAAATAAGTACCATTGAAAACGCTCTTTTAAAGCATACATTTTAAAGTATTTATAGCAAAATAGTAAGAATAGAAGATAGCAAGTCTTTTTCGACGAAAACTTGACTTCTAAACTATTTAAAACGATTATTTTTTTTATAAGAAACAAAAAAGATCATATAAGAAATTCGAAAATCGAAAATAAATAAATTTGTTTAAATTTTTTGGATTCTAAACACAAGTGTCAGAAATTCAAAAAAAAAAAAAAAAAAGTCGTCCTTTTTTTTTCAACTTTGACACCATTTTTGAGTACTCGGATTTCTCATTTAGCAATTTTAAAAAGGCAAAATTCTAACTCTAAAACTTCCGGTCTTTCGAATGGTACCTAGCTGATTGCTATTTAATTTCAAATGGTCAGGGTAACCTGAGAATTTTCCCTGATTAGTTCTTTCTCTGAAACGAGTTCCCCCTCCCCCCGCCCCCCTGAAGACACTAGTCAGTCACACAAAAAAACCCTCAAAAATTCCAGAGTCAAATCAAATCAAATTTCTTTTCTTCTCAATTCACCATTTTATTGTCCTTTCCCCGTTTAAACAGCCTTAATTTATGCGCAAAAACAATTTACTCAATAAGAATTTTTTTGGTGCTAACAGAAAAATGAAAATTTCGCTTTGTCACACACTGAGATTGCTCGAAAATTTTTCTTTTTTTCATTTGTATTTCATTTTTTTTTGCATTTTCATGGGTATTTGTAGGGAAAATATGAGAAATTCTGATTTTTTTTGTGCCATTTTCACACAAATTTTGAGCTCATCCTAAAATGTTTCTGTATTTTGTGTAAAGCTTTCCCCATTGACTCCACAAAAATCGTGCCAAATTGATTCGAAACGAGGTTCTTAATCAAAAGAAAATAAACCCAAAATTGAAATGAATTCTGAAATGTGCAATAAAGATTTTTCCTTTTTATCAAAACACAGTTTATTCCTCGAAAAATATACACAGCAAGACGCTCGAAAAAAACGGGGGAAATGGGTGAACCGATCTTGCACAAATGAAGAAAAGTATAGAAAGAAACGGAGAGAGCAAAAAAAAAAAGAAACGGTAAGCATAAATAGAAGTTCTCTAAAACCGTATTTGATATCGCAAGTTGTGCACTTTACTTGGGAAAAGGGATGAGTAAAGGTAAAGAAAGAATCAACGCCATTTGTGAATTTGAGTGGAGCAGTTTTGTTCTAAAGAACTCTAAATCTACCAAATCAGTGCCCATCATTTAAAAACTGGAAATTGATTAGATTAAAGAAACATTAGTTGAACACTAAATAGAATTTGTTTTTAGATCTAAACAAGCTCCGCTCAATCTTCAAAGTATGTATAATTCGAAGCCGCACAACGGATGACTCATCGAAACAAGAATTGGGGTGGTCGAGAAATATTAGCACGATGAAATTGTGATGCACATACAAAAAAATTCACAACAACTACGAAAAATCTGTAACCGAAAAACTCTTTGATTAAGAAAAAAAATATTAATACAAGGGAGTCTGATATAAAAAAATAATGACTGGTGTAAAAGCGTATTAGAAAATGATTAGCTTCTAGGGGAAAAATCTATCACAGCATAAACATCTCTCGAGATAAATGAGAAGAGAATTGCAAAGATGTCATCAAAAGAGTTCCATCAGAAACATGCCGAGAAATTGAACACAAAAGAGGCTTACTTGCTATAATAGACACGATAATACAAATTCTTGCTGCGCCACAATGAATAGGAATTGTCGAATTTGAGAAGATAAACACCACGACCAGGATATTGATGGGAGCCAGCATAAACCTAAAAAACATGATTACATCCTTGCATCTGAGCTATCGAATTCTTTTAGAATGTAAGAACATTTTTAAAATTCGCATACCTTATAAATTTTAAGGCCAAACTAAACCTTACCTCTTCATGACAATCGCGACGATAGACCGGAATGATCTCATCTTGACGTGGTTTGTTTGGATCACGGTGACGAATTTGGCGAGGACTACCCGATTCAACATCACCTGCAAAAAGAACGTAAATTACTCAAAAACCTATCCCTTACCCGGGGATCCTCCTGCCGGGTTTGGGACTCCTTCACCGCCACCACCAGCCGCAGCATTTTCTCCTTCTTCGTCGGGTTCTTCATCGGATGACTCTGATACATGAACGGAAACCTAAAACAAAACTCGATGTATAATTTAAAATATGGTTGATTTACCTGATTGGTGTCCGAAATACTCCACTCAAAAAGCACGCCGAAACCGATATCATAGTGATCAGTGGCAAACTCCCAGAAAAGACATGTGCCTTCTTCATGAGTTGGAACTCGAACCTAAATTTAAAAAGTGCAATACGGTAATACTCCATAACTTCAGAAGACCCAATTATTGAGTGTTGAATCACTTACAGTTACGGTTTCTCCATGTCCAACTTTGATTATTCCTTCCGGTCCATCTTTTTTGATTGCTGCTTTAAATTCCACAATATCTTGTCGATTCCACAGTGATGCTGGCGCAATGTTGGGATTCGCTAAAACCACAAATTACAGTTACTTTTCTAACCGAGCATCGAACTTCGTTATTTTAAAAGCAAATTAAGTTCGACACCCATAAAAGACAATATTTACAAAAGTCACCGTTGATATTTTCAAAAAAAAAGAAATTCAGTGATTGGTAAAAATATCAACGGTGATGAGTAGGGGGTACAATACATTTACAAATAACTGTACAACCAGTATTTTGATTTTGGGATATCAAGTTTCCCTAGAATACAGACCTTCTACTAAAACTTTTATTTCAGAAAGCATGCGTTCCCGAGAAAAAAAGAGCATGCTTTTTAAAATTCAAAAAGCATTTTAGCATAGGATAAGTGGCTTTATGTCAGTGATGCAACACAAAAAGCCATTAGAAATCTCAGGGAATTCTCGATCTACAAAACGCTTGTATGTACACTTTGATAGCATTTCAATTTTCACTTTGATAGGCAACCTACAATGACAGAAGAGTCCCATTTGGGCGTGAATAGAAGATACTTGAAGGAAATTGTTTTATTTTCACATACGCAGAATAGAAAGTTATTAATTCTACGAAAGTTTTGATTTGGTGCGTTAGAACAGAGTTTAGCCAAAGAGTGCCTCTTAATAAAGGAGGATTGGTTGGCGGTTAGTGAAGTGAAATCAGAACTTACATTACTTCAAATTCAGATAGTTCTAAAGTTTTTAGCCAACCAAATCAACCCCAGAGAAAGATGTAGAAGGGAAACGAGAGACCACGCGTACACCTTTTTCAGGAGCCACATAATCGAGATGATTCTCGGGCATGATATCTTCATTGGTCGTCTCATTGTGATAGGAAATTTGTGATAGAGATAAATTGGTCGGGTCATTCAATAAATCACTCGGATTTACCGGCGACTCAACAAAATCGGTGGTTGTGATATGGATATCGTGTAGGTCTTTTATAAGATCCGTGTTTACAATATTTGAGGCATTCTGTGGAGGTAAAGCTAAAAGCAGCTCATCTGGATCTTCCAGGAGTTTAGCATGGAAACTCAAACTCACAAGGTAAATCATCGCCCGGTTCTTCGTCGCTCACATCACTATCATCATCCCGAGCCTTCTCTTCGTCGACAATTGTTCGTTTTCCATTTTGAGCAAGGTGTTGTGGAGTGCCATCTTCGCTATTCTGTCCCTGAGGGTATGAATTTCAAATAAAACATAAATAGTATCACCTTTGCCTGTTGAGCGTGTTGAGCATACACTTGCGCCATGTATTGTTGATAGTGCTGCTCCTGTAGCTGTTTGATCAAAGCTTCTTGCTGTAAAAGAATTATTGTTGCTAGATTTTCAAAATTATAAGTGATGGCATTGTCTTGTCTAGTTTAGTTTCAATTAAGATAGGCTTGTAAACAACCAAGCTCTACTAGTCAAAATCTCCACTCATTATTACAATCCACATCCATATGTTCCAATTTTTTCCATAGCTCAATGTTCAACTCCTTATAGCCCTTTAGCTAAATCTTGTAATCCGAGCTTCAAATTAAAACTGGCTGAAATCTTGGCAAACAACAAGAGAAAGACAATTCCTTTCAATTCATCAAATGTTCTTGAGTTCTCAGTGAAGGCTCTTGTTGTCTCCGCCACTCCCTATTTACAGTGGAAAGGGGAGGGGGCTCGGGCGTCAAAGGTGCCACACGAGGGGGATCGACCACTGACTCGAGAGTAACCCAAAAACTCTTGGGATTTGCGCACAGATTCCACAAACTCTTTTTTATAAGTGGAGAAGCCCTTGACCACTGAACATTGAAAATCTCCGCTCAAATCAGCACTTTTGTCAGGGTTCAATTTATCACTTCAAAGTTCACTTTAAATATTTATTATTATTTGCGTTACTTTTTCGATTCTTTATTTTTTGGTCAGTTATTCAGCTAGCCTGCTTTTAGACTTGGTGGCTTGTTATTATTGAAATCTATGTTCTTGTCATTTTTTATTCATCAACCATGTTAGGAAGCTATGCTCCCAAAACTTTATCATTTCCAATCAATCATCAAAATTTGACCTTTTCTCAATCACAAGACTCAAAGTTCGAAATTCTCAAGTGGTCATCTGAACGAGTGATGATCACGCGTTGCTCTTTTGCACTCACGGTGTGTGTGCGAGCAAAAGGACAACAGAGATATGTGTACGAACAGCTGACAGAACCCCATCCAGCCGCAAGTTCACAATTTTGCTGATCGAGTTATGACCCATTCTTTCGAGATTTCGAGATCCATCCAAATAACAACAGCCATTTCCCTTTTTCATTTTAACACCCAATAGCATGGGCAACTTATTAAAGTTAGAAGCTCCTTGAAAGGTGTTCTTTTGTGTTTCTAAACAGGCATCCAAATATTTTATATTTTTAAGAATCGAAGGCCGAAACCCTCTAACCCTACGTAAAGGCTAAAATCCTTTTAACCTCACGTTGTTATCAAAGAAAAAGAAAGTCGGCTAAAGGCTCAGCTGAGAGAAATACAAACGAGAGTGATATGTCACGCCCGAGGATAGGGGGATATTTGCAAACCGCCCCCTTTCTACTCTCGAGATCTCGCAAAATGCTTTCGGGAACTTTCACTCCACGCGCCCCTAATTATAGCGTTCATTTAGCTTTTATGATTTTATCATAAAATTCGGGTTCATCCTGAAAAAGTTACTCACTGTTTACCTTCAAAACAAAAATTTCTCGTTTGACTTTTGCTTTAATATCCTAAAGTTTTTAAGACGTCATTTTTATCCACAATTTAGAAAATGTCAATCTACATTTTGGATTCGGATTGTCTCTCTATAATTTTTCACTATCTACACTTTGCGGAACGGGTGAAATTCGAGGCGGTTTGTCGAAAATGGCGGGGAGTATTGTTGAGATACTCGATTAACACGGATATTCGATCAATCGACATATCAAAATTCCTCAAGACTGCAAACACCGACTATTACCAACAAGTAAAATGAGCTTGAATTCAAAAAAGAAGTAGAAATTTAGGACAGCCTCTCCTTCGAGCCGACTACAATCGGGATTTTGGAGCGTTGTGGACCCTATCTTGAAGAGCTATCACTTGGTGGTAGATGGATGAAAATCACTCAAGGAGTTTCCGACACAATTGCTAGGTGTTTTCATTGGCGATCCTCAAAATACTAGAAAATTTAGCTACTGTTACCGTTTACGGGTACTTGATCTAGGAGCCGTTATTATTCATGGTGATATCAGTGCGATTCTCGAAGAAGTGGCCGATAATTTGGAGGTGTTTTCTCTCGAAGACACAAGTTGGGTGGATCCAAATGCCAGCAAATTGGTAGGTTGGGAAGAAAGTAAAGAGGGTCAAAACTATTGCAGATCACGCGATACTTTGATCGCATGAAAAAGCTCCGGCGTCTTAATATGCGGGCTCAATCAAAATACATCCTAAATCAATTACATGACATCACCGGTACCCTGCAGTTTGTTTCAATTGATTTTCAACCGAACAACAAACTTTACAGGTCGCTCGATATAAGCACAGCTCTTCGAGAGATGTCAAACTCTTCATTGCTATCTTTGTTGGGAAAACAACAAAAGCTTAAAGAGCTTTTCATGTATCCATCGCCAGTGCTACTCAATGGTTCAAAAAAATATAAGGCGATTATATAGGCTACTTTAGATGAGATGATTTCAATGTTGGTGGAGCTGAAAGAATTGAAGACACTTAGAATCAGCCATGTTCCTAACGATAACTACATCGTTGAGTTTCTCGGTCAGATAGAAGCTATGAAAGAACTCAAGTTGAGAGTAAGTTACGCCCCAAAATTCAAGCAATCAGAATTTTTTAGGAAGTTCGAGCGCTTACTGAAGAGGGTCTTCAGGCAATATTGAGTAACCTACAAAAGCTTAAAATCCTATCCATCGCCAAATGCCAAAACGTCTTCGGGTTTAACGCACTAGACCACTGTCATAGTCTCGTGGAACTCGAGATAACAGACAATTCCAATCTGATCGACGAAGACCTATTTTCGATTTTTGATATGGGACTTCTAAAAATTTTGAGGTAGAAACTTCAGGTCAGATTTGAAAATTTAAATTTAGAATATCTCGGTGCAACAATGTGAGCCATGAGGCTATAATGCATGCGTTGCAAAGAAATCAAATTGAAACAGTAAGTCGGAGAAATCAAATGAGAAGTCACATTTCTTTAGCTCGATTTGACTGGAAGCACAATGATGACTGATGAAGTGCTCTTTGCCATAGCCTCCACTCAACAAGAGCTTTCTTATTTGAGCGTTAATGGCTGCCCCAAAATTTCCAGGTTGCCGTAAGAAAGATGGTCTCTTAATAGACCTAGTTTCAGCAAAGGGGTGTCGGCTATTTCCCATATGAGCAACATTCAAAAGCTATCGGTTCTTGATGTATCGAACAATAGAAAAGTGAGTCATTAAATGGAAAAGCAATTCGATATGTTATAGATTGATGATATGGCAATACTTGGACTGCATAATGCACTAACGTTAAAAAATCAGAACTATTCCTCCGTCGATCAATGCATAAGTGCAACGGAGGATCAAAGAGAGAACCTAGAAGAAAACAAAAAGGTGAAAAGGAATTTGAAAATAGCCGTCAAGACCGAGTTTTTAGCTTGTTGTTTACGCTACACAATCTTCAATCTCGGAAAATATTGACGAAATTGTCTCAAACTACATTCAGATTCTTCGATAGCCCCATTAATGCTACCAATACAGTAGGAAAGTCTATTGAAAGTCTTAATTGCTTTTTGCTCAAATATTGATTGCAAAACTGGTATGTAAATAAATAATTTAAAGCAGCACAAAATTCCTGTTTTTATGATTTCCAAAAATTGCTCGGAAAATGAATACAATGCCCCCTAAGCCAATAATACAATAACTCGGCAAGTTGCCATAGCGATGAATTATCGTTGAGAATGTCTTTTTCAAAAACCATATTTTCTGGATTAGGTAATAACGACGCCCACTTGGACTCGAAATTCTTTAGAATAAAAAAAGGTACCTGTTCTGGATTGCTGGGAATCTGTTGCTGAGCGTAAGCCAAGAATTGATGATAAGTTTGCGTGTTGAGGGCCTCTTGGATTTGTTTCCTAAAATGTATGAGTAACCTGCCATAAAAAGATTGGCTTACCGTTGAGCTTCGTAGACTTGGTAATCGATTTGTGGTTCTTGATGAGTGCCGGGTCGTTGGCTTTCTCGTTGACCGTTCAATACTCGAAGTTCTGCCTCTTCAGCTCTGAAAGTTGAACACCCTCTTCAAAATAATTTGAGCCAGTAGCCAATAACGCTAGAAGTTCCGACTCGGGTGCCTATCTATTGTTTAAGAGAACCAAGACCATAGATTTTGGATAAAGCCCAACTTCAAAAGGTTCTAGTAACAGGGGTTTGCACTAAAAAGCATCGATCATCGGCAAAACTGAAATTGAAAGAGTCGCAAAATACAGAGTGTGAAAATGAATGGGGACGCGACGGGCTGATAGTCGGACGGCCACACACTGGAATTGATCCGAGTCTTTTCTCTGCCCCACAGCCGCCCACTCTCCCTCGCTCTTTTATGGAAGCGATGAGGCAGCCTCCCTTCTCGGGTCCCCCTTCCTTTGCCCCCGAAAAGAACATGCGCCCCAATCGACAAAATTCCTGCTGTGTGAAATGTTTGGATTCTATGCGCTAATGAACATTCATCCAGGGCAAATTAGAGAATGAATATCCCATTGGAAAATCAAATTTTATCTCACTTGTTATTTGGTGCTTCTATTGAATCGAGCATGAATTGTTTGAAAGGAGGGCAAACCTAAAATACTATTTTTAAAAAATGAAATCAAACAAACTCTGTCAAGAAGGAAAACAAATCCGGCCATTGCTTCTTCACGTCCTAGTTGTCCGAGAGCTTGCCAAGCCTTTCTAAACATAAAGCTTTAATGAATATTGAAGCACATAATCTTGCATAAATTCAGCAATTTTCACTACTGTATTGAATTGGATAAAATTGGATGTATCGGATAAAATTTGAGTAAATACGTGATGGAAATATAAAAAATTTTCAAAAACTAGTTACTCAACAAGTGAAAAGCAAAACTTTCCAAAATTTAGTCCCCAAAAGTTAGGCCATTTGTTTCGAGACGCCAAAGATGGCGTTCATCTTTGACTGACAACTAGCCCTCTGAGGATTCCGGGGGCACAATCTGATTATTTTTAAAAGCAAATCTGCTTTGTCAAAAAAGGAGGGAAAAGAAAGCATTTCACAAAAAAGAACCCCGGAAATTAGGCCTCATTTTTGTAATTATCAGAACGAAGTACTTTTAGGTTCTATTTGAATAATCGGTTCTTGGCGTAGAGCTGATGTATTGGAGAGAATTTGAGTAAATCCGCCTTTTGTAACACTTTTTTGTATTTTTGTGTTGCGTAACTTTAAATAGTGCACGATAAACCTTGCTATAACTTTGTTCATAAAAACGGGCGCACAATCCGTACCTCAAAGTGCTGGAAGTTAAAGCAAAAAGTAAGCTGAATAAAAATCAAACAATGAACAATGAAAGCCGAAAATTTGTTAAAGTGTCAAACCATAAGACCTCTCCATGGAAATGCCCTCCCCTCAAAAACGAATATCTGTTGAAGCAATCTGTCATTTCGGGGGTGCCGACACCCCGGTGTGAAGGGCTTTTCACGCATTTTGCCCCTTCGGAAAGCCTCTGTTCTCAAGTGGAAGTGGGGGATGCGCTACACATTCATCAACCGCTGACAAGGAAAAGGCTCATGCAAATTAAACCATCTTGGCGTGGGGAACGGCTGGCAATTCTTTAGCACTAGAGAGCGTTCTCCACAAAAAATTTCTAAAGAAAACTTAAGAAATCCTAGTTTAACAGGGAACTAAAGTTTGTGTGCATAAAGGATCAGTATGAAGAAGTATTCAAGACAGGTATGTCAACCTAAGTAGTCAAAAAGAAGACGGAACGATTTCAAAATATGTAGTCGCATTGGGTTTTCTTAGATGGTCAGCTTTTCTAGTCTCAAAAGCGTCGAGGAGAAGCGGGAAGATGTGCCCCGTAAATTCAGTTAGGGGCAAATGGAGGGTTGCGCTTGCCTGCGGTAAGAGCCCTCTCTAGCCTCGCTGACAATACACATTTTGGGTTTTTGAAAGTAACGAAGAAATTCGACATCGATATCCTTTTAAAGTTTAAAAAAAATGAAAGACTAATTAAACCTTTAACCTTTAAAATTAGAGGAATTTGTGGAAGAAAGTCCATGTAAATAAATCCATTTCACCAAAAAGCGAGGGCACTTTGAAAAAAACTAAAGGATTTGTTCTGAAGTGAAAGAAACAAAAAGAAGCAATATGACAAATTAGTGTTGACAGCCAATGAGAGAAAAAAGGAAGGCGTTAAAGGGGAGTTTCTCCTGTTGAAGAGAGAGACCAAAATGGGACACAATCCCAGGGGCAGAAGGGAAAACACCGCGGAGTTTATGCTGAATGCGAGATTCGTCACGTTACTATTGAACTGAGTGGACATATTTTGGTGAAGATTTCAAAGTATTTTTGGTTAGACTGTTAGCACTTAGGCCCAAAGAAGATGTTCAAAAATTAACGTTTTTTAAGAAAACCAGCCGGGTTTTTTTTTCCTGAGAGACGAATTTAGGAATTTGCACAAAGATTCGATGCATAGACATTAAGTGTTTTTCACGTAAGCCACATGAAAGGGTGTAATTCGAGAAAAATGGAGGAGAGGCATCCACCTCCTAAAGGAAAGCAGCCTAAAAGGCGATCGTTGCAATGAGGAACAATGAAGCTCAAGAGGAGGAGAAGACTCTCCTCAAAAAGCCAAAAAGGAAGGCAGAAGGACTCTAACGGCAAAGCGACCCAAATCATATTAGCTAAGAAGTGGGAAGAGAGACCTCCGAACTTGTTTTTGCCTTCAAACATTGAAAAACTCGCAAGATCTGATTTTAACAGATTTACTTTGTTGGAAATTTAGATTTCACTAAAATGTGACAAAGGGAATACTTGCTTCTCTAATCCTTCCACTTTCAAAAGTGCCGGAACTAAGCCCATGACATTAAGTGAAGCTTAGAACACCGACAAGCAAAGTAGATGTTCTGACATGTTTTTGGATTTTTGGAAGTAGAAATGAGAAAAGTTTCTAACAATAGTTATAACTAACAATAGTTATCTCTTTGTTTGATAGTGGGAGTGCTAACTTTAAGAGTAAATCCTTACATTCTATCTGATCCAGTGAAGTCAAACCATCCGGCATCGTTGTGACTGTCTTGATATGGTCCCAATTTAACCTAAACAAATAAAATAAATGTAAAAAAGATTTTAGAGCGTTTAAATGCTTTAAATTAATGGTTGTTTAACTAGAGCGACTTTCTTAAACGTTAAAGAAGATATTTTAAAATTTAGGGTTTTTTAAAACTTTAAATTACAGAACTCAAAAGTTTACTAAAGATTTAAAACTCAAAAATTAATTTGTATGTAAAATTTAATTAACAACTAAACTTTCATACCTGTTTGCTGTAAGCCATAAACTGAAGACGATCATCATACGCAACCACCAAGTGACCATTGTTCTCCTCTTCTAAATAATAAAATAGTGTTCACCAAAATAAAACTTTGATTGCGATAAACAAACAATCTGACTTTAGGAAACAAAAACAAGATCATGTTGTTAATCTGATATGAGCAGTATTCAACTCGGATAGAAGCTAACTCTAGACTATTCTGTTCACTTACTCTACAGACTTGTCTACAGACTACTCAAGCAGGTGGCGCTTGAGGTTGTCTCCTAATTCATCGAAAAACCACAAAACCATAACGTAGCACATAAAATTGCAAGCATTTTGCTCAAAATCTCAAGGGTCAACTGTTTGAAAGGTTTTGAAATTCAAAGTGGTTTTTGAAAGCAACCCTGGCGGCACGTTGAAAATTTTAAAAGAAATGTACCTTTATAGTACTTTACTGCGGCTTTGTAAAGTGACTCCAACGGCATCCCCCATTCCTTTTCGATCAGTGCCACCTCGCTTAGCGAAACTTCTTCACCCATCTTTGCTAAAATGTGATATTTAACTTCATGTTTAATCTTTAAAGAGAAAACAGTTTAGAAATCGTCAAGTTAAAGAAAACATTTTAAAAATCCCCGAAATTTGAGATTATGGGTTTTAGAGATTTACTGTTTACAGGTCAGCTTTTCGTCAAACTTTACGATGTCACCTGTTGTACAAAAATGTCTCCATGGCTACAAAAGAACAGTTACTACTATTTAAAAAAATAAAATACAACAAACTACAAAATTCCACGTTGATATCTTTGTAAGAAAGGACGACCATATGCATGGCTTCGTTGTGGGACAACAAAAACGCTAAATAGGTAGCCAGTTCTCAACCGAATCAAGTTCTTGCAAATTTTGAGCATTAATCAAACGGTCTGTACATTTTATTCAGAAAAGATAAAAAGTAGAACAACACAACGAAATTATTAATAATAAACTTAGAAATTCGGTTTTGTTTCAAGATGATCATAAATGTTAAATTTTTCATCGATAGTTGTTGCTATTGTCTTTGCTGTTTCAACCCCAATAAGGCATTTGAATTTTATTATATCTAGATTCGGTGCCGCTGAAGTCCGTTGAAGTAATCCCATAGTCACTAATGAACTTATCTAAAACGGAAAAATATTCATATATAAAAGATTTCTGACATACCTGTGCAAGAGGATCAAGACTATTGAGGAGAGATCGTTCTTTTGGAGGGTACTTTTCAAGTAAGGATCGGTAGATCATGTATAACCTGAAACGAAAAAGGTAGATAAGCCATGTTTAATTGTTGCAATATTGTAAAATATACGTTATATTAACCTTGGTGTTTTATAATTCTGGTAGCAGAGAAAATATAAATACTCTGGGTAGATTACCACAGGACTAATGTTGTTTGGACCGAAGAAGTTCCCGTTTGCGGCTGACTAAATTGAAGTCACTTACCGAGTGAGATCAAATTGTTTCACATCAATGTCTTTTTCAATTCTTGCCAGCGCTTGCTGTCGTTCTCTATTTTCGTTTCGTCTTTCTCGTCCATGAAACTAAAACAACAATATAACCCAGCCCTGTCTATTTACAAACAAAATACCGTTGCAAAATAACGACTGTCGGCTGCTGCGTTATTTTGGCTTGCAAAGAAGGCTGCCAAAACCAAATATCTAAAACAATCTTGAAACCAAACCAAAAAAATTAATAACCTGGATGAAACAGAAAGTGGTAGTGTTGACTTGGTATCACGCTTCTTAGTCAGAAGTTGCAAAGTGCCGGCCGATTGCTAAAGTACTGTTGGTTAGGAACCCTTCAAAATTGGAATTGTTAACAGAGAATGGAAAAGCTCCTATTTTTCGTTAAAAGTTTCATGAAAAAAAAGCAAAAATTACCACAACGTTATAAGCTTCGCTTGCGATTTTCAAGCAAAAGCTTTTTCCTCCTGGACATTTTTTTGCGTAATATTGCCATGCATCATACACCTAAAAGCTGCAGATTTTCAAATGGTTGTTTAATAAAACCTTTTTATATAGAAGATTGGCATCAGCATAATGTAAATACAGCGCACTTGCAATAAAACGGATAAACTGTTCCGAAACCTCGGGCAACTTTTGTCGAATCATAGAAATGATGTCTTCTAAAAAACAAAAGATTTTGTTTTATGCAGCAAAGAAACACTACCCAATGTTGGAGGAAAGACTTTAAAATTGATCGGTGCTGATACAAATTCTGAAGTATTTCCAATCTCGCTCCAAGGCAACTCGGAAACTGTAATAAATCGAACAAACCCCAAGACCTAAATTACCATTAATTTAAAAAAAACTTTATATAACTAACTCTTGTTGGTATGCTGAATAAGCCAAGCAGTTGAGTGGTTGAAAACATTTGCAGAGCTTCAGCGCCATAGAAAACAACGTAAATTCTGTTGTTGGCATTTAATTCGTTTCGCTTGCGAAGCTTTTTGAGCGCATCGATCAGATCCCAAAAATCGTCAATCTAAACAATCATCAACCAATAAAGTTTTGGTTAGATTAATTTTTAGATATTTTTTTGAGATCGCCTTTGCTATCTAGGTACCAAATGTGTATTTAAAACTTCTACTACATACCTCATTTTCATAAAAATTAAGTTGTCCTTTCAGCACAGTAAAAAGAGTTTTCACATTTCCCTGGACATAGACGCAATTAACGTAAAGCATTTCCTAAAAACAGTTCATCAGTAAAAGCATCAAATAACCAACTATTCCTTCGATTTTGTTTTCCGCTAGGTATTCGGCGAATTTGATGATCGAACTGGCAAACAGATCGCTTGTACCGGCTTCAAGAGCTCCGTGTATGTGCACGTGAGTTATCTAAACTCATCCAAACATCAATCCTTCACTGGTCAAAATCTACGATTTCTAGAAAACAACTTTTTCAAATGCTTACCGATTTTGCGGGGTTTTTGAGTAGTCGAAGCATGCCCTCAACAGCATCTTGCGATGGCTTCGGTAGAAAGTCACGTGACGCATCATCTATCATATCTGAAACGACAAAAAAAGAGCTGAAAGCTAGAATTCCGCATACACAAGACAAAATCTTTCAAAAACAAAGAAACACAAATGAAAATTTGATTTGGCGCCAAAACGAGGCGCACCAAATAACAGAAAGGGTGAGGAAACCATCTGATTACCTGATCAAAAACTTTATATTCTTTCGTTTTTATGTTTTTAGAGACCTAAAACCTTTTAGGATTACGAAAATAAAAGCTCTTTTGCGCTAAAATGTGCCAGGAGTAAAAATTGCTTAAGTTACTTAAAGATTTAGTAACGGAAAGTTTATTGTCCAAGTTTTTGCTCGAGTTGATCACTTCTTGTAATTTGATGCAATTTCGTAGGGTCTATAGCTCAATTTTCATTTTTACGTTGAAATTAACGAGATTTCATAGTGGCCAACGTTCGACTTGACACATAAAGCGTCAACGCAAAAAAATCGATATCGAGTTCTTGATTACGTCATCGACTGACTATTTTGCAATTATGTTATAAAGATAAAATCATCGACTAGTTATTCACTAGTTTGACAGGACATCCGGAAATTAATAAAATAGTAATTTAAGCTGGCTGCAAAAATATTGCACAACTTTGTGCATTCGCTAATTTGCTAACTTGTGCTTGTTTTTACACCCGCCACCTCTATTTTTCATTTTTTTTTTGTATATTTCTTGACTTCTTGACCTTCAAATTCTTGTATCAATCATATTCATCGGTTTTAATCTTTATATTTCAGGATGGTCGTTGCGTTACAGCATGCCGACCTGACCTCACTCAACAAAACAATAGAGTTTGATAAGACGACGATGGAAAAGCTGAACAAATCAAACTGCGATCAGTGGGTGATTAAAACAAAGCTGTAGTTTTAGTTAAAATAAAAAGAACAAGGAAAATGGAAGCTTTTCCATTTACGGATGGCAAAAGAAATAACATTATATACCCTATATAGCATTATATAATTCACCTGTTAATGCTTTGCCTGTTAATGGAAAAGAGCTGGACACTAAATATTTTGCAATTCATATCTTTTAGATGTTTGGACCGAATAAAGATATTAAACACAAAGGCTATCGAAGCACAAAAAGAGGGAAATGACGAGAACGCTTACTTTTTCTACATGCGCACTTGCGAAATCGCGATGTTGTTGAGTCGTAAGGATCGTTTTAAAAACATGCCTCCAGTAAGTGCTTTTCTAGTGAACGCAACTTGTTTATTTTTCAGACGAAACAGAAGTTAGCACATGAAATCCTCAGACGATCAATCGAAAATGCGAACCAAATACAAGAGACATTGAAAAACCGATATGAAGCAAAAGAACAAGAAAGACAAGCTAACTTGGTGCACAAAGTAACAAATGAGACAAGTCATGCAACAGCTCCTATAAAACAACCATCGGGTATAAGTTTTATCGTGAAAAATTAACTTTTATTTAGTTTCCGAATTCATCAAGCAAACGAAGATTAGTCCAAGAGACTTGATTCGGTCCTTGCAAAACACCGAGCCCGCAAAAAGTGCATTGATTGTGGATTTCAGGTTAAATTCTTATGAAGAGCTGTATAAAACTTTGTGCTTTAGAGAGAAACGAGATTCGATCATCCAGTACACAAGGAAAAACTTTATAACGGTTGTCAACGTTCCTGCAAGTTTTATACATAAGGGGTAAGTATTGATAATTGTTCTCGGATGAATTTACTTAGATTGATCTTCAACAATTTGTGCCAACAAATGCCAATTAACGATCGAACAATTCTTTGTCAACTTGCCAAGTACGATCTCATAGTGTTGATGGAAGAAAATGATCCGGTTTATTATTAGTTCTTTTTCGTTATTAACAGTGTATTTAGCTGTACGGAAAGAATGGAGATCTTGAAATGGGATCAAAAGCTCTTATACTTACGGAAGCTTTGTACACGGTTGGTCAAGTTTAAATCTCGCTTTTAGCATTTCTTTAGTACAATCCCGCCTATAAACCAAAACATCGACCGATTGTTATGGAAGGTGGATTTCGGAATTGGCAGCGACAATACCCTGTCTACACAACAGTTCGTGAAAATTGAGAGCTACTGCTAGCTTTTGCTTTAGGAGGCTGTCAAAGAGGAGGAACTCGATCCAGATTCACAAGCGGCTAGCTTTGAAATAAGAATAGCGAAGCTACAAGCAAACTATGGAATCGATTTTCGAGAAGCAATGGGACCAGGTTGCTTGTGAAGTTAACCTTGAAAAACATTGCCAGTCTTTAGTTTCCTATCCATCGATTCCGGATCTCGACAGTCTGCTTATAGGTAAACTTTTTTAGTTGGGCTTAAATAAGACCACATAGTTTAGATAAACCTAAAGAGGTGCCGTATAGAACTGCGACACCATCCACGATCTCTAGTGGTAAGCTTATTCACACTCCGATGGGGCTTTAATTTAGCTAGACTAATAGTAAGCTAAATGATTTCCTTTGTATGTTTTAACGGTTTTTCTAGGGATAGATCTGCCTAAAGTTAAATATCCGCCAGCTCTTGACTTGAATCCACGACAATCAAGAAGGGGTTTTTAACCGTGTTTGATCTCAAATTATTTCTTTTAGATGTTCCACAAGAAATTTTTGATGAGCAGAAGCCGCAACTTCCAGGTATTTTTTGGATTCTATGCATATCATGTAGAACGGTATTCAAAATAAATAATATTTTTTTAGCGCTAACTCGTGACAACAAGCCAACCTTCGAAATAGGCGATTATCGGCCAATTGACAAAGGGATTCCGCAAATCGATCGTAGCACAAAGCCCGCTGTTCCAGTATTTTGAATAATAGAAACAGAAAAACAATAATTTTAGGTCTTGGGAGGCAATCGTTTTGAAGATCGACCACCTAGCGCCCCTATTACCAGGTTGGAAACATTACGTTGACAAGAAAAACGTGCATAAAACAACTCTAAATTAAAATTTAAACTACAAAACTACTCATTACAAAACTAATCTTTGTCATTTTTCCATTAATAATTTCGTCGATTGGTTTAATATTCTATTGATTGGTTATGAACTATGCCTTCGATAACTCTTCCACTACTGAAAGGCGATGATGCTTTTGCTGGGAAAAGTGGTGAAGTTGAATGCTTTACCTTTGTTTTAGTGTACCTTGTGCACCGACGACACCGCAACTCGATCGCACAAAGAAACCGACCGGCCCTCAAAGAGAGTAATCGTTTCTAATTTGGTGAAGACTACGTATGTTTTTTTAGTCCTCGAATGGAGGGGGCTCTTATTAAGGCCTACCAAACAACGATTTCAAGACTTGAAGCATCGGGTGGTCGGAATGAGGTTATTTCTCTTTTATTGTTATTCTCATTTTTTTTAGAATCCCGGACAAGTTGGCCTTTACAACCTTGGAAACACATGTTTTGTTAGTGCAACTCTTCAGGTACTTTTTTGTGGTTGATTCTTCATGTTCAGCTGTTTTAGTGCCTTTTCCAAACGCCATTCCTAAACCACTTCTTTTGTGGCGCCAATTTTCTTTCTTGTATTGGACCGTAAGTTTTCACTTGCTAGTTGGGAATAACATTTAATAATACCTATTTAGCCACACAAAGCTCAACACTGGTGGCTTAATGGCGGCTGTTTACTCTGGCTTAAGCGATGTGGTATGGGGAGGACGTGTGAAACAAATACGACCGGAATACTTTCTGGTAACGTAGCTATATTTTTTCTATTGTGATATTTTAGAAAGTCTTTTCTCAAATCAATCCCTACTTTTCGGATGGTTCTCAACATGATGCTCAAGAGTTTATGATCAATCTGCTGGATGCGCTACACGAGGACACAAATAGAGTATGTTGAGCTTTGACTGTTTTTATATGCTGCTTCTAGGTTGCAAAGCCGATTCCGCTTGATACAAATTACACTGGTGGCCAGAAAATCGTAGCGGAAAGTGAAGACTATATTCAACGATATAAAAAATACGCCGAGTCACCAATCTCGAACATATTTGATGTAATTTTAATGCTGTATTTTTAGTATGTATTCGCCATGTTTAGACACATCGAGTCTATGAGTTAAGCTGTCGTACGTGTGAGCGCACTTCTGTTACCTTCGAAAAGTGGCGAATGTTGTCATTAGAGGTAATTTTACTTGAACACACGCCAAGACTTAACCTATATTTTAGGTTCGATCTCGTTTAGAAGATTGTTTTGGGGCTCATTTTTGTGATGAGGTAAAGTGATTAGCGGATTTTAAAATGTTAAACATTTTAGAGGCTAGAAGGCGAAGAAATGTGGGAGTGTCCATCATGTAAGTGCAAAAGGTCGGCGATACGCAAAGCTCGAATATGGAGCCTCCCACCGGTGCTAATCATTCACCTCATGCGCTTTTCGATGACTGACGGTGGTTATGTAAAGGTTTGCGTACTTTAAACGGCTTGTCAACCTAACAATGCACACAGAACGCGGATCCGGTGTATTTTGAGCGAACGTTGGATGTTTCGCCTTGGCTCCATCCGTCGAGTCCTCAAAAAAAGAAACGCTATGTACTCTATGGCGTCACGGTTTGTTATGATAGTGCTTATTGCTCTAGTTGATAATTTAGAATCACCGAGGAAGTCTGAATAGTGGTCATTACACGGCAATCACACAGCACAGAATAGATCAGAGGTTTGCTTGTTAGTTGATTTTTAAACAATTACCGCTTTTAGTTGGGTGCGATACGACGATGAGAGCGCTACGAGAGTGTCAACTAATGCGTTTGACGTAAGTTTTCTATTGTAAGCTCATTCAATTGTTTAATCTAAGGCCTCCGCTGCTTTCATTCTGTTCTACAAGAAAGAAGACGTATAGACGACTCCATCCGTTTCGTTAAACGCCGCGCATTAAAATGGCTCAATAATTTTTTTTGTTGATTACGGTTATTGTAACTGGTTTGATTTTTTTTTTCTTTTGGTGTGCTGATGAAGTTGCTATTACTCGGGTATCTTAATTGCCAGTCTCTTTGTTTTATGTGATACAGCGAACATATGCTAATTTTGTAGATTTTTTGTACATTCATCTTCTCTTATGTGATACTTATTGCCTATGCTGCATCACCTTACATCTTGCTTATAAATTTTCATGTGCAAATAATAGATACATTTACGTTTGAATTTATTCTGAAGCTTAAAATAAAAATGTTCTAAAATTTTCTAATTTTTGCCACGATGTTTAATCGATTTTCAATATCAATTTTGGTTTCAATACCTATTGGATTTATTGTATCTTGGTTTTCTTGATGTCAGGTACACCAAATTTTTTAGTTATGGCGAATATCCAAAATCTCAACCGGCCACGTGATGCTTTTGAGCAATTAGATGATGACGAAGGAACTCGTCAGGTAATTCTAACTTTGTTAAAATTTAAATAAAAATGAATAATGTCCCAGGACAATCCGGTATACAATATCGTAAGATTTTTGCTTTACCTATCCTCATAAAAGCTAAAGTATGCATTTGATAAAGTTGTTAAGTACTCTTGCTAAATTAAAATTAACGTTAACAGTTTTTTCTGTGTACAACTCAAGTTTTAGGGTTTCTGCCACATTCGGATACAACAACGTACAGGACGCAAGACGATCACAACTGTGCAAGGAATTGCTCCCGAATACGATCTCAAGAAGATTGTCAGGTTTGCGCAAGCTTTTTGATGCAATATTGAATTGTGGTTTAAGATATCTCAAGAAAGAATACAACTGTAACGGTACGATCGTCCAACACCCCGAATACGGAGAGGTTATGCAGCTCACCGGTGACCAGCGACAGCAAATCAAGGAATTTCTTTGCAAGGTAAACATTTAGCTTCACATTTATTGACTGAAACTGAACGCGAAACAGTATTTATTACGCATATGGAGAAAGGAGTTAAATTGAGACGTGCGGGAATTGGTCGTCGATTGACTTTGTCGGACGGTCAGGCACCAGTCTAAAACAGTAAATCGGTACCGAGCCAGCAGTAAAGGAAAATGTACTGACATACAAACAGAAGTTTTAAATCAGATTTAACATAAACGAATAATAAACCAGTGATAAAGCTTAAAAGTTGAATAAGGAAAAAAAACATTGTATTACCTCGCCTCCGCTCTGTGATCCATCGGCTTTGCTGGCTTCAACCGCGGCGCCTCCTTTTGCGGCCGGTGGTGGTGGTGGCTTCTTCTTTCCGCATTGGATCAGTACCGTCAGCATGCCGACACTAAACCAAAGAATGAATAATGATAGAAATATCTCGTTTCAACTCATAAAATGAATGACACTCTAATGGAGCATGCCCTTAAAGCCCCGTTTACTGATATCAGAAACAAAATTGTGTTGGATCCTTATACCCCTTTCGAAAAAGGGGCCCCATTCTGATGAAGGAAATACGGCAAATAGCACGAATAAATGGTACGAGTAAAGACCATAAGCAAAAGTAGAGTAAAACAGACCTGTAGCAAACAAGTAGGCCCAATTGAAACATCGTGGCTCAGCGTTGTGTGGCTGAAGTCGAAAATTGACGAAATGATAAATTGTAAAAGGGAGTTTGTTTATAAACGATCATTAAATGCAAATTTTGCTCCTTTTGTAGACGTTATGTAAATTTTCATTCACTGAAATGTTTAGGTTGGCATCGTGAAGGAGGAGAACTGCAAAGTCCACGGATTCTAAATTCTCGAAAAAGTATTCCTAAAATCACCGTTTAAAGATTGATTTTTATGATTTATTGGTCGTTTTTATATGAATGATTTCGATTATTCCTCTGGGTTATCAAAATTTCGTAATAAACGGTTGTTATTTTTGTTATTCTTTTTGAGAAAATGCAGAGTCAAATAACAAAACTTTATCTAAATATTATGGATTGCCTAAAGATTTTTGAATTCTTTGATCTGTTTCTAATTTCAGGGTAAAAATGGCTTTAAATGGTGAAGAGGAGGAGAAAGGATACACTTGGGAAGCCGATTATGCTGAAGGTGAGTAAAAAGAGCACCCACGTGCTAAAATTTTTTGATACGTAGACGATTTTTTTCATGCTACATCGAAACTTTTTAGGTCTTAACATTCGAGGAGTGCTGGAAGAGGACGAGAAGGGTTCCATTGAAAAAAGTATCCAAAAAGTCATTGAAGAAGCGAGAAGAAAAGCCCACGACACGGATCGACCATCAAAATGTCGACTAGGAATTGTACGGACTCTTGGAAAGTACTTTGAATAATCTCGGGTTTTAGATGCGTTACCTCTACATCGTTGTCGATTGTTCACGGTTTATGCAAGATAAATCGCTGATGCCGAGTCGATTGGCGGCAACGATAAAAGTAAAGACGATAATAAAATAAAAGCTATATTTGAGCAGCTTCTTTAGATTGTCACTCAGTTTCTTGACAAATTCTTCGAGCTCAACCCAATTGCCCAAGTTGGTCTCATTGTTTGTAAAGATCGAAAAGCGGAAAGAATTGTTCCACTAACAGGTAGATTAAAATGTTTTTGATTCTTAATTTAGAAATTACAAGCTTTTTCTGCTTGTCATTTCAGGATTTATTTTATGTGGAGTCAACGTGCAAGTTTAACTGAATTTTAAAAATCCGGAAGTAATATCCTTTTGAACGGGATAGTTGAAGGAAAGCACAGTAGTCGCATCTACCAAATGACAGGATTTTTTTACTTCCTCTTTGAAGAAAAGCCGTATAAAGTACGGCACATTGCGGCTTCAAGACTCTTTTTGGACGGAATAGGTGAGGGGAAGACAGACTCCCCTCATTCAAGAAATCCGTATACGGAAGATCAAACGGGAGCATAACATGGCTCATCAACCTCGATCTTTTTTTACATAGTAGAGATTAAGGAAATGTGCGTCAATTGGTTACTGCTCTCACGTCAATCAACGAGTTGCAATGCATGGGCGATTTCTCACTGCAAAATGCTTTACGATTGGCGCTAACTAATTTAAAGTTGGTTTATACTTTGTTAACTAAAGTGACCTTCCAAACCTTCCAAAACAAAACTTTCAGAGACCTTCCAAAACATTTTTCTCGAGAAGTCTTGGTGATAATGTCTTCACTGACATCTGTAGATCCAGGGAATATTTTTTCAACCATCGAGGTTTGATATCGAAATGTTTTCTATTTAAATAAATCCTTCTAGAATGTACAAGCATCGGCTGTCCGTTGTTCAGTCATTGGTTTGGCAGCGGAACTTTTTGTTTGTTCTCAGTTGGCAAAGTTAACAAAAGGTATTTACCGGATTGTTTTAAAGAACTTTGTAATTGTTTAGGAAAATACTCCGTAGTGCTTGATTCGTCACATTTCGAACTGGAAATTAACTCACATGCAACGCCTCCATCAACTGGAAAGTATGAAATCATAGACTTCTTCAATTTTTCTATATCCCTTTAGAACTCTTCAGTGCAACGCGGTCGAAGTTGGTTTCCCAAAGCACGAATCGGTGGAAAGGGAAATCTCCTGTCTCTGGTAAGTGTGCTTTATTTTGTCAAACAACATTCGCTCTACTTAATTTTACAATGTTAGGTACTCCGATTTTCAATCTGCCAAACGTCATTTACATTTTAGCCACTCTTCCGGTCCAATTTCGAAACGTGGCTACGAGTGTCCCCGTTGTGGAGGACGGTACTGCTCTATTCCCGTCGAATGCCGTGTTTGTCGACTGACTCTCGTCGCGGCTCCTCAACTCGCTCGAGCTTTTCGACATCTTCTCCCATTGCCGCCATTCCGTCGAATAGACGCCAATACAGAGTGAATTGCTTTTTGCTATTCGGATGTATCCCATGCCAACGGTTAACTAGCTTGGAAGACGGTTGTAGAAACCTTGCAATAGTTGGGTCTCTTGACTAAACTACAGCATGTCATTTCAAGTTAGCACCTGCCTATTATATTTGCCAAATTTAGAGCCTCCTGTTTTGCGTGTCACCGTAAATTCGCTGCTTCTTCATCAGCTTTCGAATGCAAGCAATGTGCCGAACGTTTTTGTATCGATTGTGACATTTTCCTTCACGAATCTTTATACATTTGTCCGGGCTGTAAAACAGATTTATGATTTGGCACTATCATGTTCTAGGTATCTAATTTCTTTTTTCTTTTTAAATTTTGTTATTGCTTTTGACATTCGGGTATAATTTTGAAACTGTTGAGTACATTTTCGTCACTTTCCATCATTGCGAAAAGCAGCCTAGACTTGCGACAACATTTGTACAGACTATCAATTATCTTTTCGCTTTTCCCATTCTCAGCAAAACAGGTTCTCATTTATCAGCGTAACCCCCATCAATTTATGAGAGATGATATTTTTTTGAAGACAAAGGGTTGAGAAAAGTTGAATTGGTGAGCAAAATTTCGAGAAACTTGTAGATTTTTGATACCTAGGGGAGATTTCAGTAAAATTTTCCATTTCAGGTGATGTACTTGTTGCAATAGAAAAGCTCTCATGTGTCAATTAACGGATGTTTAGTGCAGCAGGTCAAAACCCTGTAGCTACTGTACTGAGAACTATTGAATTGGACATTTTTATATCGAAAAGTCAATACTAAAGGGATATTGAAAATTGAGTTTGACGTTTTATTAAAAAAAATACGGTAAGAACACAGATTTTTATCTGAGAAAAGGGGAAGGCCGTTCCTCAGAAGGCACGGTGCAAAAAAAGCCACTTTAAGAGGCGATTGGGTGCTGTTTTTCTGCAGGGTGCGCTTAAATTTCCCTATGATCACACAAGAAGAGAAAAAGGGAATCCGATAATCGAGAGGTGAAGTGAATGGGGAATGCTCCACGTCTCAATCTCTTTTTGCTTTCCCCTGCTTCTCCTCTTTGACAAGTGATCGCACGGGGCGGGAGAAACAGCCCCAATTTCTTCATTTCTCTTCTCCATTCCTTCGTCGCCCTTTCCCCCATCAAGGAGTGGATCCTCCTCCTCCTGCTCGGAGGAGGAGGATCCCCCATTCCCAGCCGGTTCTCCGCCCTTCTCGACCCCCCCTTTTTCCCTATCGACCCCAAGCAAGGGATCGTCTCTTCCTCTGAATGCTTTTCATTAAAATACACTTTTTATTGATACTTTAACAATGAAATTGATTTAAGGGAGAGTTAAAAGCCTCGAAAACGGATCACCAGGACTAAAAAAATGAAAATTTTCCCTTTTCCCCAAAAAAAAATCAAAACCGATAATTAAAAGCTTGAGTGTTTTCAATTTTGTGCCATTCGCCGAAAGCGATTTAAAAAATATTTCACTACTTTTTATTTGAGCAATGTTTTCTCGATTGCAAACAGAAATTCCTAAATCTTTTCTTTAAAACCAAAGTTCTAGCTTTAGCGTCCTTAGCGTCCTGCTTTAGCGACGTCCTGCTCTCTGCTTTAGCCTCGTTTTTGTGACTATTTGAAAACTCGACCAATTTTTCAACTTTCAACCAATTTCAGAATGATCTCCCGAACGTTAGCCCTGCTTGTCGGGGCGTTCGCCTCCGTCCATGTCGTCTATTCACAATCGAGTGAGTCACAAATTTTTCGACATCCAAACATCCAAACAAAATGCAAACTCGATTTCATTTACATCAATCCAAAACCCAGGATCTCAACTGTCGGTGATCGCCGATTTGGGTAAACTGATCGTCGACAACTGCCCGCCAATGTTGTGCACCGGACTCGACTGCGCGGTGGTCACCGAGAGAAATGGATGTCAGGTGGGGTTGGGTGGTAACAACTGCTCCCAATAATGCGTTTTCTAAAACGTGCTAACCCTCGACTACCATAATCTTGTCTGTCTTGACTCATTTTTTTTTCGCCTATTTCTCCTTCACCCGGTATTCAAATCCCCCTCTTTTTCAGTTGTGCGCTTGTCCAATCGGTTCGCCGGCTCGCGGCTGTGATCCGATGCCATTCATTTTGTGGCACGATCTGATCGTTAATGGATGCCCGAATGTGACACTAAATTCCAGGGATCCGGCTCAAAAAGTGCATCGGTGGTTCAGACGGGTGAGCTGATTTGAAAATGATACTGAATAGGTAAATGGCTGATAAAGAGCATGGGGAAGAGGGTTGAACGATGAGCATTGATACTTAAAAATGAGTTGCATCACCGAAATTTTGAGTAGCATGAACTAGACATAGGAAAATTCCAACCCGAACCTAATTCCACTTTGGTTTTCTTGGTCGGTTGCTCTGAAATTTAGTCTACAGATAGAAATCGACATTTTAATATTGTAGACAAAATTTCAGTGCAATCGGCCAAGAAACGGCCGAGAAAACGAAGGTGGGAATAAGTTCGGGTTGGAATTTTCATATGTCTAGTATGAGCCAGACTAATACTGGCACTGGTTTCTTTTTCAAAAAGGCTCCTTTATTTAAAGCTTTTTCTTGACTGAACCCTGCATATTTTTAAGAAGTCAGTCCTTTTAATGGAGTTACCAAGTTGAATTTTCGGCTTTTTTTAAAGTTTAAGCTTCATTTTTAAATTTTACCAGTGCCTATTGGACATTGGACTCATATTGGACTGTTGGACAGGTACTCATGAACATATCAAAAACCCATGTTACTGATTTTAACGATATATCTACCGTAATACCTGGAATAGAGGGCTCAGTTCGAAATCCCTTCTCGTTACAATTCTAGGTCCTATTAAGCCCTTCAAAGACTTTGCGTTACATTAGAGGTATTCCGGTAAGGATAACATTTTAACAGCCACAGACGAATCCATTTCAAATCCAAAATCACTTTCAGGTGAATCGTTTCTCGAACACGGATCAATGTGAACCGTATATTTTCCCCTATTGTCCCGAGCTTGATTTTAACCTCTGGCGATCGCCGCGGACGAAACAGGTTCGGTTTTTTTTTTCACGCGCGCGAGATTCCCTCCGAGAAAAGTCTTATCAAAAAGAAGAACGCATTCGATTTTCAACCCATTTTCCCTATCCAAATGTTTTTCCTTGGAAAAGCTAAATTTTAGGAATGTGAGCTTTACTGTTATTCGGTCGATGAGCAAAGAAAACGTGGGATCATCTAAACTCTGTTCTTACCAACAATCACACGCCAAAAAAGTTGTTGTATTTATTGAGGCCAAATTAATAAATCGCTTACACTCCTACAAAAAGAAAGAATTTCATGAAATGGCATCAAAAACGAATAGGTAACAATCTAACTATACAAATCTATGCTCTACCTGAGCTATCTTCTCCTGAGAACCCGTGTCAATCGAATTAGATTCACGCGAAGTGCTGGCCAAATTAGTCCCAAATTTCGTTTGTACCATTCTCTAGAAAAGAAGCCGATGAATGATTAAAAACACCAAGAAAACCGGTTAAAATCCATTAAAGCATTATGCCGTGTGTCCAGAAATGTCTTGTAAAAAGCGGAAAGATCAGAGGCCGAAATTTGCTCAATTCTTCCAATTTCGGCTTTCTTCTAAAAGAAGTTGTTGTAGTTAAGTAATTCACAAAACAACCTTTTCAACAAACTTCGCTTTCTCCCGGTCAAAGATCGTATTTTGTTGCGCCCAAAAAGCGGAACACCATCTGAAAACAAATTAGTCTTGTCTTGGCCAATAAAAACAAACCTATTCAACTTCTCGCGTTCTTCCCGATACTCTGTTTCCAATTTCGTTTCATTGTCCACTCGTCGTAATCTAAACTCATAAATAAAACTTGACTACTTTTAAAGATCCTACTTGATAGGTCGTATTTTTGATATCCGATCCGACGGGCCAACCCAATCAAAACGTCGATCGAGTTTTATCCGATCTTCCTCCATCAACTAAAAATTACAATTTCCAATTGAAAACAATCAAAATGAGTTGTAATAATTACCGAGGTACAGCATTCTGAAAAATCTACGTGAACTTCTCATTAAATTTTATTCTTTACCAACAATCAACAATCGATCCAAAACAAAGATCACAGACTTCATTAAAAAAGTGAAAAATTAAACTAATCAACAAAAAAATAACAAGTTTCCTATGTTGAGCATTCTTTTGAAATTCTTTCTCGTAACATTGCAAACGATCGCTCGTACTCGTGCACATTGTGTCTAAAGCAAAAACAAAAAAAATCAAGACAAAAGGAAACAACTTACATGACCAAAAGTATGCTACACAACAGCTCCTTGGTGTTATTCAAATGATGTAGATATCCACGTGTGTAGTTCTTACACGTGTAACACTGGCACTCCTTGTAAGGTGTCGTGAAATCATCTTTGTATCTAAATCAGTGACTCCTTGATTCTTTCGTGTAAAGAACTTACTGGTCCAGCGTAAAATCCATTAACTCAAAATCGCCATTTGTCGCATAACTATCGTTAAGCCGGATTGCCTAAACACAAGTTAAATCTACAAAAGATTAAAAGTGAAATTTACTTTTGCTTTTTCAGCCATTTTCACAGCATACGACGTATCAAAGAGATCGACCCCCAATTGCACCAAATGCCAGACCTAAATGATAACAGTTTTAGTCGAGCGTCAACAAAGTTTACCTGCTTTGGTGAAAATGGACCGCAAACATATCGAAGCCTTTGTTTTGGCAACGGCTCCTATGAAAGTATAGCTAAAAGTTATGAAAAACTAACTTACGAAGGTTTCACTCAATAATTTCTTCAACTCCTCGACATCCCAGCATCCACCGTCCCAAAAGTCATGCAACTCTAGCGAATAACCAGCTCTAGAAAAGAAAAGGTAATAAGTGAGATAAAAAACAAAGACATACACCATTTCATCGTCTTCTTTGCGCATTCCATTATCGACAGCGCACTTCCTTCTTTGAAAAGCCGAGAAACCGCCACCGAGCGAGATGAAAACAGGAGTCTAAAACTAAATTATTTTGCTTAAAAAATATATTAGGACTACACTCGGAGAGGCGTTCCGCAGGGTTGCGTTAATAATATCTTCAAAAATAAACTTACCGCCAAATTTTCTTCATATTCGAATGTTTGCTCATTGAGGATCTTTGTTCGGTCCATTGCTTTGCTCATTCGTTTATTCGTGACATCTCGCGGAACATCGTAATCAATCTAAAATGAAATGAATTATTGCTAGTTTTAAATAAGATACTCTTACCAATGTTTCAAAGCTATCGACCCCAAAGCTTTTCACGATCTCATGTTGCTCATAAACACCAAGCTAAAACAGAAATCGTAGAGGCAATCACAAGGCGGGCGCATACTTTAACTTTTCCGCCGCTTGCCCAAATAGCAATCGTTTTCGCCTCATTGTAACCAGTCTTCAGCTCATCCATCGGGTCGAATGTAGCAAGATGAAGTGGTCCATTCTAGTATTTACCTTTATCAAGCACATCAATAAAGTTACTCACTGGAATAGCACAGAAAGCAGCGATTCCACGTTTAAATTTAGCAATCACCTCTTTCGACTCGACACTAAGAATGACTGTTTAAAAAAAAATAGACCATTAGAATTTCACGACATTCATTAGAACAAAAACCAACAGACTCGGCAGGGTTAGTTGATAAATGGGCGACTGTAGGTGACTGATCCATTTTGTTTCCACCTGAATCGCAATTGATAGAATGATTGGGGAATGATTTGTAGCATTTACTAATCATCAGTCAGAAATTCAAGTTCAAGAACTACCTGCCACGTAAGATGTGGTACATGTCCAGCCCGCAAGTACAACATACACGATGGTGTCGCATGTTCAATTGATTTAGAGCCTAAATGCAATAGTTCAGTGGCCACAGAAAACATTCTAGCAAAATTTCTCATCCCATCGACTAATCTAGAAATGAAAGAGCATTAACCCCATTGACTAATTTTCCCCAATCGGCCGGCGGCACTCGCTCCCTCCAAGTTGAATTTAACCATAAAACTTCTCTAAACCAAAACTTTGATTTTGCTAATGAAACAGCGCAGATAGTATCGCAAAATGCAACGCTTTTCCAAATTAAAAGTAAAAACAATTAAATATTTATTACAAACATTCATGGTGCAATAAAGACAATGGAACAATAATTCACTAAAACACCGTAGAATAACCGGGGAAAATTCAAATCTCCTTTTGCACATCGTAGTTTCGATACTCTGGCTTCAGCTCCCACATACTTTTGTGTGGCGGGGTTTGATTGTAAATGGCAATCTCCTAAAGTTTACAAATTTTGCTGATGAAAATAGAAAACTACCTGCAAAATCTCTTTAACATAGTTAGCCGGTTGATTTGTGAGCTGTTGTAGGTCTTGTAGGCTTAAAATGTTTAATTAGGCATAAGGAATATCAACTAACCGATAATATTGATGCTTCTCGAATGCATGGAAGATCGTTTGACGAAGAACATCGCGATCGGCACGAACAGTCTAAAAGATATGGTTTGTTTATCAAAATTTGTGCATGTTGCTTTAAAAACAAACCTTTATTCCTTCCTTTTTAGCCTTTTGACGCTGCAAGTCTTCATGATGTGCGGCCACGGGTTTAAACTTGACAGCAGCCTAAAAATGAACTTTAAATTGTCAAAACCTTTTGGTTTAAACCTTTTGAATTTGAATCACTTGACGTTTCGGCTGTCCCGACTTCTCAATTTGTCCAATTTTAAGTCTAAAAAGGCGATTTTATCTCAAAATCTCGAACAACTACCGCAAATACGAGCTATCATTTGGTGGCCGACATTCAGCTCGTTGAACAACATACCCTTCGACCGACAGTTTGCCCGTTCTAAAGTAACACTTGTACATTCAGATTACAGTATTGGAAAAAAAATGCCCACCTGATATTCGATTCTTCTTCAAGACCAGCTTTATCTTCAGCCAAGACTGCCAATGTCTGCTGGGGATCCGTCTTCATCAAAAACGTGTGTTCGCTAGGCACAGAAGGGCCAGGCTAAAATTGAAATTGTGAATTGCTCAATTGAATGCAAAAAGGGGACCAACTTTAACCGATACTTACTGCAATCTTTTTCGAAGCAACACTAGTCGTTGGAGCCTGCGTAAGCTCGCTGGGCACCATCAAATCGGGTCTCGATTTGAGTTTCACCTAGAAAATTTTGCTTTATAATCTTTAAAGCAAACAATCTACCTCATTGTTACCAGCTGTAATCAATTTTCCTACTTCTGTGCCAGCATTTGCCTCCCAAATTTCGGATAAGTAACGCGGAACCTAAAGTATAATATAAAAAAAACTTTAATGCAAGTGGATATTAATGTGCCGAATAAGGGGTGATTGTTGATTTGAAATACCCACCTTTACAAGCCAAACTCGTTTCTTTGCTTGATCACAATCCACGTTTGGTCGTTTACGCTGGTCTTTTGAACTCATTCTAAACATTTTTTAAATAACATATAATTAATGAAACTAATTTTAAATACTAATTCCCGAGTCAACAGTTTCTCCAAATACATAGCCTTGATAATAGTATATTTATTTTTTTGCACAAATAAAAGCTATATACAAAATGAATCAAAAGCAATCATGGCAATGTTAAATAACGTAGAGCAAAACAACAAAACAAAAGGTAGATCAACTTTCTCTCAATGTTTCCAAAATTTTCGTTAAATCGACTTCTTTAACCGAAAAGTTTTCCCATTTGGGTGGCGGCGGTAGAGTGAAACCGGTCATCGTAGAACGAATACTCTCAATTTTCTCTAAAACACAAATAATCGCAAAGCAAAGAGATTAAACAATACAAACCGTCATTTAATTCGATTGGACGGGGCTGGTGTTCAATAGAAAATTTTTCAGTAACAGCAGGCGTACTACGTAACTTAATAGTTGTTCCTTTTAACTTTATCTTAGCTATTGATACTTACAATGGCAAATTCAGCACGAATCCTTGGTGAAACGGTTGAACTTGTTGCAGGAGTTTCATCGACATCTCTAAAAGAACTTAAGGTAGCTAGCTAATCATGTATAAAAACCTTGTGCTATCATCTTCGATTTGATCTTCCCCATTTTGTGGTTGACTTGTTTCCGGCAATCCTGATGGATCTTCGGGAATTACTTGATAGCCTAAAAACAAACTAGAAGTGAATAGTTAAACATTACTATATTTACATAACTTTAATTGAAACAGACAAAGAGAAATACCCGTATATTTTTCATCATCATCATCCGGCTCAGCTTCGTGCTCAACTTCGCTCGGCGGGTCTGATTCCCAACCTAAAACGTTAATCAAAAGTGAAGCTTCAAGCAAAATTGACCACTACTCTCGCCTTCATCATTTTCCCCAGGGCGTCCATCTTCTTGCTCGTGTCCGATTCCATTCATTTGAACCTAGAGATAGATTTTTAAAAACATGCGAGAAATACGCAGGATTATATGCTCAACCTCAAATCCGACCCGCCAGCCATCATTCTCGTACTCAAGAACTAAAATGGAATAATTGATGTTAACAATTAATAATTTTACCATCATCGTCTTCATTTCCCCCGTTTTCTGTAGGATGTCTCGGTGGATGATTGGGGCCCATCTTTTCTGTAAGAATTCAACTCGATAAGATTTTCGTGACCAAGTGAACGAAACGAAACCATTAACAGCGTAATGGATTACAAGATGGAAAGCCTTATAACGCAGCCCATTCACGGGGAAGATTTCAGCAAAAAATTAAAATTCATATCAAAAAGTTTAATTACAGAGTGTTCAAAAAAAGTTTCCCACTTCAACTCAAATTTCTGAAAAAATTTACATGACTCAAGGCTGATGGTTGCTCATTTTCAATTGTTTCTGTTGTTCTTCTTTCTTTGTAATACACTTACTCCTATTTTAAAACCATACGGACCTCTTTTCAAAATCTAGTGTCAATATTTTTAAAAAATTTTACTTCATTGTGTCGCAAAAGTATAGCACCCTAGAAAATATTTTCAAACCACAAATTTTCGAAGTTTTCTCGTTTGCTCATTCGCGGAAAACTCGTAAACTTCAATTACAGGAATCTTTGGGAGTGGGACAAATGCGACCTTTTTTTGCGCACCCGGACATTTGCGCACCTTTTTTTCCGGACCTTGCCCATTAGCGCACCTTTTTTCGCGTTTTAAAAAAGCTCTAAAAAGCTAATATTAACCAATTTCTATTCCAAATGTTGTTTTTCTAGGTAATTTGAGGGTGTCGAATTCAAATTTTGACATAACAGAGCGTGTGGAACCAATTTGAAAGACAAAACGGCTAGATCAAATTACAGAAAATTGTCGATTTTTCTCTTTGTATAACTCCGTCCGTTTGTTTCCACAAGCTCTGATATGTCAAAATTTAGATTCTACGCCCTAAAATTACCTAGAAAAACAACTTTTGGAATAGAAATTTGTTAATGTTAGCTTTTTAGAGCTTTTTTAAAACGCAAAAAAAGGTGCGCTAATGGGCAAGGTGCGGAAAAAAAGGTGCGCAAATGTCCGGGTGCGCAAAAAAAGGTCGCATTTGTCCCACTCCCGAATCTTTCAAGTTTCATCTTTTTCGATAACCATATAGATTTCCCAAAGTTTTAAAGATTAACCTAATGTTTTAAAAAACCAGGCCTAATCATAAACTTTTAGCTATCTAGGTACTTGTTTCTATTATCTTAGCAAAGGCTTTTAGTATTAATTTTTCACATAAAAACATTTTGAAAAAATTAGATTAATCTTTAAAGCTCCACCTCATGACATACATATTTTTTAAGTTTGTTGCTTGCTTTTTATGTAATTTAGCTCTTATATATATATATAATTGGTTTTAGTTGTCCACGATGAGCGAGAACGTGCAGCCAACTAAAGAAGAGGTGCAGGATTTGGCGAAGTTTGTGTATACAACGACACCACCTGATGCAGACGACCCTGAAAGATGTGTGTTTGTCTTTGACGCGCGACGCGCGGTGACTTTTGCGTAAGTTTTATGTTCTAATGCACTTTTTTTACGTTACTTTTAGCCATGGTGTTCACGAAAAACTCTTGTCAAAGGGGACCGAAATTACAATTTATCCGGCTCGTAGTCGTAAAGATGCTTCCGCAGTTTCTCCTGTCCGAGTGAGTTACTTTTTAATTGCTTATTAAAATTTGCATATGCAAAAGAATGCTACTTGCAAAAACAAATTGTATTTTCAATTTAGATGAAGGTTGAATATTTCAGCCCGTATTTCAATTTTGTCGTGTTAAAAACAGAAGACGGCGCACCAACATTTCAAAACAATAGACCAAAATCTCCTATTCTTCCTCGTATTGGCACCAAATACACAATGATCGGATTTACAAGAGATGGAGTCTTTATCAAGAGAAACTCTGTTTTGGCTTATCTTGGAGAAGGTAAATTTATCATTTAAAAAGTTTTTACATCTGTTTTAAGATACAAGCGCATACATGATTGGAGGCTCGGCTGGGGACGAAAGCCATTCGGGAGCTGGATTGATCTCAAATGGTCATTTTCTCGGGCTCGCCGTCGGACGATTGAAATGCGACCGTGCTGGCAAAAATTTAAAGGAAAGACTCGATTTGGTAGCTCAGCCCGTTCCATATACTTGTTTTGTAACGGGAGGTTTTATCCTCGATTCTCTCTACTCAATTGGGGGCCCCAAGCTTGAGGTAAAAATACTAACTTTAAATTGGTATTCTGTTAAGGTTCGTTTAGTTAAGTAATTATCTTTTATCACCGAAAACATACTCGATTCGATAGATCTCCAACCATTTTTTAGGGTATTGAATTGGATGAGGAAGAAGAAATGCCCTCAACCAGTGAAGCACGTCTAACCGACGGAGAACCATCAACCAAGAGTTGTAAATTGATGTAAATTGATATACAGATTAAGCGTGCGTTTTCTTTTTTGGTTCTTAACGTTCTCCATTCTTGTCTCTAACTTGTTCTTGAATGTCATACGGGTTTTTCTTTCTTTGGCGCCTATGTAACTTTTTTGGGCTCTTTTATAGGCTAGATTCATTATAGTATGTTTTGCTGTGAATAAAAAATTGAAGTTTTGGGTGGTTTCGTAGTTGTCTGACGGTTTAAACTATTTTTAAAATATCTGCTTGTCTCGTCGAGATCTGTGCGAACCTTTTAACACGACTCTTACTTCCGAATCCGAGCAGGCGTCCGAATCTGATCCGGACGTCCAAATCCGGCCATTGATGACCTTGTGGTCGGTTCCGGGCGTTCTAATCCGATCACAATCCGATAAATGCCAATTAACAACTTTTAATGCTAATAAAGCAAATTTATTAAGCATAATTATTGAAGGGGTATTCCTCTAATAGACGAACCTCTTGTAAGTCACTTACACAATTGTTGTGCCTTGGTTAGCCTTTATCAAAAACTAAAGTTTTTTCAAAAGATTGATTGACATAAACTCATTTTTATCCTAAAGCCAAATAATGTTTAGTAAATATTGTAAAAAGCAAACCAAGCATTGGACCAACAAACCCAAGTTGAAAGTCGGCGTCATTATTCCCCTGATTTGTGAATTCAGAAAATTTCCAAATAATAAAGAAGATGAGCAACAATTTTTGACAAACGCGGTGGGTCAGGATGGAATGAACATTTTTTTTTAGCAAACATGGGCGAAGCCACGCAATGTTTTAAAAAAGTTATTGGGAATTCATAAACAATATGACTTAAATTTCTTAGCTTAAATTTTGCGTGGGTTATCCATATTATCATAGTTGAAAAATTATAAAAAATTCGACGAATCAAGAGGGACAATTAGCATTTATCGGATTGTGGTCGAATTAGAACGTCCGAAACCGACCACAAGATAATCAATGACCGGATTCGGACGTAACACATATATAAGATTGGTTTTAGTTGTCCACGATGAGCGAAAAACGTGCAGTCAATTAAAGATGAGGTGCAGGATTTGGCGAAGTTTTTGTATACGACGACACCACCTGATGCAGACGGCCCTGAAAGATGTGTGTTTGTCTTTGACGAGCGACGCGCGGTGACTTTTGCGTAAGTTTTATGTTCTAATGCACTTTTTAACGTTACTTTTAGCCATGGTCGTCATCACGAAAAACTCTTGTCAAAGGGGACCGAAATTACAATTTATCCGGCTCGTAATCCTGAAAATACGGAGAACCCAATATCCGAAGTTTCTCCTGTTCGAGTAAGTTACCTTTTAATTGTTTATTAAAGTTTACATATGTAAAAGCAATTGGATTTTCAATTTAGATGAAGGTTGAATGTTTTAGCAAGCATTTCGATTTTCTCGTGCTAAGAACAAAAGACGACGAGCCAACATTTCGAGAAAATCGACCAGAAGCTCCTGTTTTTCCTCATGTTGGCATCAATTACACAATGATTGGAATTGCAAAATATGGATTCTTTGTAAAGAGAAGCGCTGTATTGACTTACTATGAAAAACGTAAATTTATTATTTTTAAAGTTTTTACCTCTGTTTTAAGATTCAAGCACACGCATGATTGGCGGCTCCAATAACGTCAAAGGCGATTCGGGAGCCGGAATGCTATCAAATGGTCATTTTCTCGGGCTCGCCCTCGGACGAACGTGTTTCAACCTTGCTGCCAGAAGTACAAATGAAAATATCTGTTTGGCAGCCCAACACGTTCCATATACTACTTTTGTGTCGGGACATTTTATTCTCGATTTTCTCCACTTAAATGAGTCGAAACGTGAGGTAACAAATACTAATTTTTAACTGGTATTCTATTAGGGTTCATTTAGTCAATAGTTATCTTTTATCGTAGAAAATATACTTTAAAATCATTCAATAGATCTCTAACCATTTTTTTAGGATGTTGCCTGCGACAAGGAAGGAGAAATGCCCTCAACCAGTGAAGAACGTTCAACCGATGGAAAACCACCAACCAAGATTAGCAAGATTAGCAAGATGTAAATTGATCTACAAATTAAGCGTGCGTTTTCTTTTTTTGTTTAACGTTCTTCGTTCTTGTCTCTTGTTCAACGTCATACGGGTTTTTCTCTTTTCTTCATACGGGCGCTTATGCGACATTATTGTTCTGTTTTATAGGTTCGGTTTATTACATTGTGTTTTCCTGTGAATAAAAAGTTGAAGTTTTCGATGGTTTCGTAGTTGTCGGTCGGTTTAAACAATTTCTAAAATATATGTTTGTCTTGTCGAGATCTGTACGAAGTTCGTACTACGGACCTTTTAACACGGCAAATTGGCTATCTAGGTACTTGTTTCTATTATCTTGGCAAAGGCTTTTAGTATTAATTTTTCACATAAAAACATTAGATTAATCTTTAAAGCTCCACCCATGACATACATATTTTTTGAGTTTGTCGCTTGCTTTTTATGTAATTTAGCTCTTATATATAAGAGCTGAATTATATATATATATATATATATATATATATAATTGGTTTTAGTTGTCCACGATGAGCGAGAACGTGCAGCCAACTAAAGAAGAGGTGCAGGATTTGGCGAAGTTTGTGTATATGTTGTATCCGATTTGGATTTCAATCCAAATCGGATATCTGATTTGGATTGAAACATTATTTCACAGTAGGGTGTCATGTTTTTAAAAGGTTTTTAATCATTTTCTAGAAATTTAAAGGGGCTTTATAGAATTATAAAGGGCTTTGAATTGAAATCACCTTAAAATACAGGAAAACCTTTTTGGGCAAAGGTGCTGCTAACGGACTGTTCTAGGTTGCCAGAGTTAAACCTCTATAAAAATTTCTAGAAAATGATTAAAAACCTTTTAAAAACATGACACCCTACTGTGAAATAATGTTTCAATCCAAATAGGATATCCGCGGTGAGTTCAATCCAAATCGGATACAACATATACAACGACACCACCTGATGCAGACGGCCCTGAAAGATGTGTGTTTGTCTTTGACGCGCTACGCGCTGTGACCTTTGGGTCAAATTTATGTTCTAATGCACTTTTTTTACGTTACTTTTAGCCATGGTGTTCACGAAAAACTCTTGTCAAAGGGGACCGAAATTACAATTTATCCGGCTCGTAGTCGTAAAGATGCTTCCGCAGTTTCTCCTGTCCGAGTGAGTTACTTTTTAATTGCTTATTAAAATTTGCATATGCAAAAGAATGCTACTTGCAAAAACAAATCCTTTTCGATTTTTTCGTGCTATAAACAAAAGACGATAAAGAAACATGTCGAGAGAATCGACCAAAAGCGCTGTGGTTCCTCGTATTGGCGCCAATTACACAATGATCGGAATTACAAGAGAGGAGCCTTTATCAAGGGAAACTCTGTCTTGGCTCACCTTCGAGAAGGTAAATTTATTATTTAAAAACTTTTTACATCTGTTTTGAGATTCAAGCGCATACATGATTGGTGGCTCCGATGGGGGCTAAAGCTATTCGAGAGCCAGAGCGACTCGAGATCTCAAATGACCACTTTCTTGGGCTCGCCGTCGGACGATTGAAATGCAATCTGGCCGATAAAAATTCGAAGGAAAATCTCGATTTGGTAGCTCAGCCCGTTCCATATACTTGTTTTGTAACGGGAGGTTTTATCCTCGATTCTCTCTACTCAATTGGCGACCCCAAGCTTGAGGTAAAAATACTAACTTTAAATTGGTATTCTGTTAAGGTTCGTTTAGTTAAGTAATTATCTTTTATCACCGAAAACATACTCGATTCGATAGATCTCCAACCATTTTTTAGGGTATTGAATTGGATGAGGAAGAAGAAATGCCCTCAACCAGTGAAGCACGTCTAACCGACGGAGAACCATCAACCAAGATATTCAAGATGTAAATTGATGAACAGATTAAGCGTGCGTGTTTTTTTTTGTTTAACCTTTTTAATTATTTAAAGTAAATCTTACTTGGGAGCTTCTTGTTCTTTATCTATTTTTTGCAGTTTAAAAGACGTGTTTTTGTTTTCTCAGTGTTCCACTCATGTTGATAAATAAAAAGGTTTATTTTGCGTGGTTCTTGTTTTATGGTTCTGAGGTTCTGACCATTTTTATTAAGACTTGTTGAGAGCTATTTCCTTTGCTTATCAATTTGATGTGAGTGACCAAGTAATCGAGCTTTAGTTCTTTACGACTACGAGCCGGATAAATTATAATTTCGGTCCCCTTTGACAAGAGTTTTTCGTGAACACCATGGCTAAAAGTAATGTAAAAAAAGTGCATTAGAACATGCTTTAGTTCTTTTCCTATCGTCGACTCGAAAAAACGCTGAAGAGAATAGATAGTTTCCTGTCGAGATGAGATATCTCAATCATTGACTATGTCAAAAAAACTGGTGTTCAAAAAACGTTCCCCATTTCAACTCAAATTCCTGAATAAGTTTAAGTGGCTCAATGTGGTAGTGTTGATGTCAAGGCTGTTTTTTTTGGAGATTTTCCTGATTACATGATAAATTTTTTTGTTTTCATGTACGGGGATCATGTAATCAAGAAAATCTCCAAAGAAATCAAAAAATTGTAACGCCAAAACGGCTTTGACACTAAGACCACCACTGAAACTTTTTCAGAAATTTGATTTTAAATGGGAAACTTTTTTTTGAACACCCTGTTTTGTTAGTTGTTCTAGCAAGAATTCACATCCAACATCATTTGTTAAACACCAACGGTTTCATTTTTACTCCAAGAGAAACATTTATCGCGTTCACTCAACACACCCACTATTTCAAATCCAAAATGCGCTTATTAACCCGACAAGACCACATGAATATCACAAAACTCAAGTATCTAAATATCACTAGAGAAAAAGCAACTATAAAAAACAGAGACATTTATTTTCGTGTAATTTCTTGAATCGTGTGAAGACTGGCGGTTGTTGATTCGTTAGATTTTGAAGGGATAGTGCCGGACTTTTGCGGTACAGGTGGTCTCTTGCTGAAATTTAAAAAAACACCCGTGGAGGGTAAAATCCTATGCATTACTAACGTTTCAAAAATCGAACCTACTCACTCGCTGAGTGATTCCGCTGTCACATCACCGTCTCCATTGCGAACGTCGGTCAAATCCTAAAATATGCAAAGTTAATTGTCACCTAAAGCAAGCGTACTTGAAGCGAGAGGCATTCGATGGGCCGATGATTGCGCCTTGTGGTCGATTTGAAGAGATCATTGAAGAACGGATCGAGCAAAAACGACAAGCCACAATTCCTAAACAAAAAGTTTTACAAGAACACATATTAAAAGTAACCTTTCAGGAGGGGAATAGACAAGGACCTTTGCCAAAAGTTGAACAGCTGCTTTCGGCTGGGAATCGGGAATCAACTAAAATCACTAATACCCATTCACAAAGCACAAAACTTACACGATAAAGCTTTGGGAAGCTTCCAGTCAAATGGTACGCGGTGTCAAGAATCTAAAGAAGTCAAATGAAAAATGAAATCTCGAGCAGATACCTTATTGTAAGTACGAACGGGACAGTGCATACTAGCGGCTTGATCTCGAGTCGGAATCCCAAAGTGTTCGATGATCAACTGAAATTTAAAAACGATGATAAGTGAGCTGAAATACATACATCCAGTTGATGCTCACTGTTTCTTCCCGGCAAAAGCGTTCTTCCAGCAAGCATCTCCCCAAAAACGCAACCGCAAGACCAGACATCCACCTAAAGCAAAAAGTATTTTTTGGGTAAAAAGACTGCCAATGCACCTCGGTTCCATAATTCTTTGCTTCAAGGAGCAATTCTGGTGGGCGATAGTAACTAAACCAGAATGATAAGAAATTAGGCCTTTAAAACTAACCGTGTAACATGATAGGGTGGTTGTCGTTGTTCCCTTTTCATCACAGCGGATGATCCAAAGTCGGAGATTTTCAATAGTCCGCTCACCGGCTCAACCAACAAATTTTGTGGCTTGATGTCACGGTGCATAATACATGCCTAAACTAGCACAAGTAAAAAGATAAGTGATTATACACACCTTGGTGAGGTGAGCTTGTCCTCGAAAGAGTTGCCATGTGAAAAGCTTGATATCGATCAGTTCAAGTTGACGGCGTCTAGCCTAAAAATTAAAATTTATACAGCAAAATCCCCTTCGAAATAAACCTTCATGTACGAGTGAAGAGTCTCTGGGAGAAATTCAAAGACGAGCCCATAACAAGTCTAAAATTACAAATCAAAAGCATATACGAAACTGCTTACCCGTTCTTTGTATCCATTAGCAAAGTCATAGAGAAGTTGGACAATGTTCTTGTGGTTGAGACGGTTGAGCAGCTTTAGAATTCGAATCTCGGAAATTGCATCAATGTCGGTTACTAAAGCAAAAATTTAATAAAGGTTAACCAGGCCGTCTCTAGAAAACCTTCATTTGCTCTGTGTAGTTTCCAAGTTTTCTTGATGGCCACTTCGCGTTTGATGCTGCTTGACTGCAGGTCTTCGGCACGACCACTAAAAAAAATTAGAAGCGAGTGGACGTATCTCAAACAAGGCTTAAACTTTGAAACTGACACTTTCTTTCCTTTCCAACTCTATCAAACGCAAAGCTTACCGGTAAACATTCGAAAAGGCACCACTCGAGAACAACTCCAAATTGGTTAGGTGGACATGAACCTAAAATATAAAAGTTATTGCGAATCGCACAACTAAAGTAACAAAATCATAACTAAACTAATTAAACGATTGTAACGACAAGAAATAGAGGCAAACGTGTCAGCGCGCACAAAAATACTCACAAAACTGCGGAGTAGAACTTGAAATGAATTCTACTCAACCTTAGCAGCTTCTCATTCAAGAAAACGTTCTTTCTGGACCGTTCTTTCTGGCCCATTCTTTCTGGACCAACAGTAGTAACGTAAAAACAAGTTTATAGAGGTTAGATCAATGGGTACTTTTCCAATATCGGGGGAGCGAAATGAAAATCAGCAGAGCAAATTTTGTCCCCACGAAAAATGTATTTCCAGGAGTGTATTTTAACTGCAACATTTTTTTAAAACTTTAACGACGACGCGCTTCTCTGACATTTGTGCGTTTAAGGAATCGACGGCAATCGATTATTTCGTCACCAAAGGAGTCATCCAGTCGTGGATTTGCAACTGTGGCGAATTGATGAAAGTCCGCTCAAAGGGAAAAGATCTATTTCGCTGGGTATTTTAAGTCACTTTTGTGATCTAATATAAAGGTTGTGAGAATAACGGGTAATTCGCGGATTTTATGGTGGTAATTTTTATAATATAGGACATATGTAGCGCTGGCAAAATTTGCTCCCCTGATTTTCATTTCGCTCCCCCGATAATCGGACCGCTCCCCCGATATTGGAAAAGTACCGATCAATGTCGAAAGTCAAAAGAAACCAATGAGTAACACAGTCAAATAACGATTCACACTCACAACTTGCCCGTCATTTATTCGCTGCGCGGTGACGGTATCCTCGACTTTGTATTTTCCCATCGAAGAGAAGAGAAGAAATGAGGTGAATGGTCAATGTCGATGGGTGTAAAAATGGAGAATTATGTTGTGAAAGGGTTTTACTTGACGGTTAAATGCAAATTTGTACTAAATTATGCATTTAGCCAGTTTGTACATGTGCTTTTATTTTTTTGTGCGTTTTTGCAAGAAGATTTATTTCAAAAAATTAATTAGGCACATCACATTTTTGGTGAGAATAAATACACAATATAAGAATGACCAAAAATAATTCACAAGGCCAATTTGGCAGTAAATTTGCAGACAGTAAGAGCTACAGTAAGACTTATTAGTTGCCCTTAGGGCCTGAAAGTTTAGATTTAAAAATGAAAAACGGAGTAAACTCAATTGTAGATTGATAGTCGATCAAAATTTGAGTCATTTAAATTTATCAGCCGACTTTGTGTTGTTTAGGAGTTTAGAATTTGGAATCTAATCATTTTTGTGTTTCAGTCAAATCATGTGTTTCATTTGTTGAGAGAAACGTTTTTGAAAGACGGCCAGTCACGAGATGGAAGCTGATGGAAGATGGGATTGATCCTGGAAGAGCCTCATTGCAATAGAGGCCGCGTCAGGTACCGGCTCATCGGACTTCATCACCGCGTGCATTTGTTGTTGAGCGAATACCTGTAATTGGATAGTGTAAATGGCTGTATTAGTTACTAAAGTAAGACTGGGTGGAACGCATTAGTCTCTTCTAGTCCTTTTTTTAAAATGTGCCCCCTTTCTCGATTACCGTAATCTAGTTTTATCCAATCTACCGTATTTCTTCGAATAGAAGACCGGGTAAAGAGTATCACCGCGTACTCCTGCGTAGCAGCCCTTTTCAAAATTTCTTTTCTGCATAAAAGCTTTCAATGAAGTGCTATAGGGCTGGAAAATGACTCAAAAATCTGTTAGCTCATGTGGTATTTTTGAGTCATTTTCCAGCCCTATAGCACTTCATTGAAAGCTTTTATGCAGAAAAGAAATTTTGAAAAGGGCTGCTACGCAGGAGTACGCGATGATACTCTTTACCCGGTCTTCTATTCGAAGAAATACGGTATCTATACATTTCGGTGTGTGTCCCCCTTGTCCCCCTTTTGTCCCTCTAGTTTTCCCCCTTGCCAGAGGCATTTTGGATTTTTCTCGACGCAGAATTTATCAATTTGGCTGTTTTTGGTCTCATGTGATGCGTCTATTTGTCCTCTATCCAATGAAACCAAAAACAGCCAAATTGATAAATTCTGCGTCGAGAAAAATCCAAAATGCCTCTGGCAAGGGGGAAAACTAGAGGGACAAAAGGGGGAGGGGGACACCGAAATGTATAAATCTATCCACTTTTCTTGTCTTTTTGATATCCGACGTGTTAGCATCAATTTACATAAAGCAAAATTTGCATTTATTTGTCAAATAAACGTTTCAGATGCTTTTACTTTTATTCATTTCTCCTTTTTAACCCAAAATGAACGTTGGACGAGATGCCAACGATTGGAAATTGAATCGACTCACTCTTACAAGGTTTGTTGTTGGTTTTTATTGTTTTTATTAGCAAAATTTTACCATTGTACTGCTTTTATCAAATTATCAAGTCCAGCAAAAGTCAGGGTCTTAAATATCGATTTTTCTGTGCATACATTTATGAATTCAGTTGCAACGCTAGCTCGTTGGTATCTCTTGTGCGCATTTCAAACAACAGAAAACACCGTGTAAAACCAATGCTCCTCACCAGCATCTTGAAAAGCACTTCGATTTTCGGTCTTGACGGTTTATTCAGCGCACCCAACACCGCCGCGTTCACCGTATTCGAAACCTAAAATTAATTTTTATATTACGTATTCGATGCACAATTTTTCCCTCAAGCTCACCATTTCTTATTCAACTTCTCAATTTATTTCGTGAGTTTATTTTTCGATTATTTCAACATTTTTTATGTCTTTAGCATGGACTGTTGTAGAGAACCGAAGGATTCATTGAAGTCAGTCTCGGACAGAGAAAATCCGCCGGTGAGTTTCGTACCTAACTTTAAATTAACATAAAAAAATTATTAGCTTATTCTAATACTCTTATTTTACGATATTCAATGTCTTTTTTAGGTCGAATGGCATTTGAAGCACTTCACGAGAAGCGACATCCGTTGCCAGATTTCACGAGATTCCAGATTTTTGCAATGGGTCAGCACGCTTAGCTACGCGTGCTGACCCATTGCAAAAATTGCAAAAACCCAGCAACGTTGATAGAAGTAAGGTTTTTTTGGTTTTGCGTTGAATTGGTTATTGATCCGTTTTTGATCAATTTAGCTATTTTATATGCACGCTTATATTTAAAATTAAAGCAAGACACTGAAAACGGCAGACACGATCGAGCAATCGACGAGTCAAAACGAGTGGGCAGATGAAAGGTAAACTTGCTGGTTGTTGTTATCACCTTGTGATTTATTAGGCCTCAAATCAAATGTCAGCGGCATCGTTACAAAATTACAATAAACTTTTTCTGTCATGAGCGGCCAATACTTTTTTCCACCACTGTATAGCTCTGCTTGAAATCGATTTTTGAACGTTTAACCATGATAAACCTGTTGCCGATGCGTTTGATCCAAAAGTGAACCGAATGGTGATGCTTGCGGGTTCTCGAAAGCCAACAAGGCAAATGTCTTTTCCAGCTGGTCTAACTGAAAATGAGGCTTGAATTTATCAACGGTTAGAATGTAGAGTTTTTGTTTTAATCCAAGGCAACGATTATGGTAGAACTTATTCATTTCCTTGTGATTCTGAGAGAGCTCACAAAGGATATCGAAAGATATAAAAAGTTAATAAATTGGATAAAAAAGAGGGGGTAGGCTAATTTCCGCATTTTTTTTGTGCAACTCGCCATAACTTTCTTCTAAGTGGACCAATCTTTATGATTTTGGTTTCATTTTGTTGCACTTGTTGAGATCCTGAGCCTGAGCCTGACCCTAAGCCTAAGCCTAAGCCTAAGCTTGCACGGAGTCTCGAAAATCAGTATTTTTTTTTGCACAACTCGCCATAACTTTCTTCTAAGTGGACCAATCTTTATGATTTTGGTTTCATTTTGTTGCACTTATTGAGAACTTAACAAAGTTTGCTTTCCATTATGCGATTAAAGTTCTTGTTTAACCATTTTTCTTTCTTTGATACATTAACTTTTTTCAATCTTGTTTTCTTGTTTTTCTTGTTTTTCTTGTTAATATCGTGCAAGGTAATTCACGAACTTTCAAAAAGTTCGATAAACTGTGTTTGGGTAACTGTTTAGAAAATCAAAGAAGCTTATCATTTTTAGTAAAATTTAGAGAGAAACAACAAAACAACAAAGCCAACAAAACAACAAAGCCAGGTCATCAACAAGAATTAGTCTGATGTTTGCTGCTTTGGTCGATCTATTTTTGAAACACGCACATTGTTTCAAAAAAACACTAACTACGAGGCTTAATTTAACCAAAAACAAAAACGGGTGGCCACTTTGCGCCAAATTTTTGCCTTGTCAATGGCAACTACAGTAACTCGCTTACTGCCTGTCTGATTTTTTGCACAACTCGCCATAACTTCCTGTTAAGTGGGCCAATCTTTATGATTTTGATGTCATTTTGTAGATCTTAACAAGTGCAACAAAATGACATCAAAATCATAAAGATTGGCTAACTTAGAAGAAAGTTATGACGAGTTGCGCAGATGATCCAAGTTGCGGAAACTAGCCTACGCCAAAAATTTTATGCCGAGTTCAAAGGGCTAATCGTATGATGACATATGTCATTTTGTTACACTTGTTGAGATCTACAAAATGAAACCAAAATCATAAAGATTGGTCCACTTAGAAGAAAGTTATGGGGAGTTGTGCAAAAAAAAATACTGATTTTCGAGACTCCGTGCAAGCTTAGGCTTAGGCTTAGGGTCAGGCTCAGGCTCAGGCTCAGGATCTCAACAAGTGCAACAAAATGAAACCAAAATCATAAAGATTCGTTCACTTAGAAGAAAGTTATGGCGAGTTGCGCAAAAAGAATTGCAGAAATTAGCCTGCCCCAAAAAGAGACAAGATTACGGTAGAAAGAGAAAGGGACACGTTTTAGAAAACGGTATAGAGGAGACGTTGAAAATTTGTTTCTCTTCACACTCACTTGATTCTCCGCAATGTTGTTGTCTTTACCGGCGATATGTGTTTGCGCGTACTCGAGCGCTTTCTCCGTTTCACTGAATTTCAAATTTTCTACAGTAATTTTGGTAACGAAACTAGATTTATTGTAGATAATTCCAGCATGAAACTACTTTATCTTGAAACTTGGGCTTTTTTTTTTCTTCCGACTCACCCATTTCGAATCATCTCGATGAGATTTTGCTGCATCAGAAGGAAATGAATCGTCGGATTTTCGCACAATAACTGCGGGCACAATTCGTTCACCTGAAAATTGCAAGCTAATGTGCTGCATTTTCCTCGGATACTTTTGTAATCGCTTCATCGACTCTTCCTTCTTCGATGGCCGCTCGAATCGTCACGCGGGCATCCAAATAATCGGCTTCTTCCTAAAATTGAACTCACTAATAAGTAGTTCTAGACATTCAATTCATGAAACTCATGAATTACTATTCTAAACCGTGCCCCCTTTCTCTTTCTACCGTAATCTTGTCTCCAATTTTTACGGAGCTGATCAAAACAGCGCCAGCCAAAAAACGCTTTCAGACGGCTGTCAGACGCTGCAGCCTCTGCGAGTCGCTTAATTCGTGCGGGATCCATTGCTCCATCTTCTTTACCTTTCGAGACTGAATACCTTATTCTAGGCTGAATACCTAATCTACACTAAATACAGTAATCCTAGCTAATCTAGAC